AGTGACTTTATTTCTGCATATTCTGCGGTCAGTTTTAGCACCGCAGAAATAATAACCGCAAAATATTTCTCCATGTTTAATTCTTTAACCTGTTACGATGTATGCCCTACATTATGACCTGTTTTGTCTAAAGTCATAACGACTAACAGATAATAATGGTTAGCGGGCCATCAAGTTGTATAAAATTGCTGTCGACTTAAGTATGTAATCTGTGTTTGTAAGGATGCACTTGATGTAAATTATGCCAATGTATGAATAAAGATATTTAAACATCATATATAGGAATTGAGATACGCTAAAAGGTTTGTTTACCACTAAATCATCAAACCATTTTAACCCTTATACTGCTAAATAATCGTCGTATAATTTAATTTTCATCTGATTCCCGGTAAATGTCTATCAATTTTATCAAATGAAAGATACTATCAGGGTATATTTTTCACACGTCATTTCAAGCTGATCAAAAGATGCATACTTTTCTATTGTTGTGCATTATATTTGTTTGCAAGCAAACAATATAATTGTTTGTAATTACTATACAGTTTTGCGATGAAGATGATAAACAAATGCGAATGAGTACATATATGTGCAAATAAAATAGGTAAAGAAGTGAGACTTAGACTTTGATAAGACGAGTCGCAGAATTTAAATCACGTTTTGTCCAAAGAATGTGCTGCAGAAATAAAGTCTGCAGAAATAAAAACATGCTAAAATTTAGAAAAACTACAGAATTTGGAGCCCGCAGAAAAAAACATTTATACGGTATTGAAATCCTTAAATGTTTCAATGAGCAGGAAAAGTCCATTACGTAGAGAGTATGACTAAAAAACTGTTGGAGCACCACATTAAATATTGTATTCTGGTACATACCGGACAGGCGCCTGAATCATTAAATGATAAAATTTCGCCTTTTCACTCGCCTAAGTGCACTTTAAGACATCTGATTCATCTCTTCACACTGATTTATATACAATGTAGGATCATGAATGAAAATTGTAAGAATTTGTGAAAAAAGCGATATTTTTTATTTAAAGAAGCATCTAGAGGTACTGCTCAAAAAACGCTGTAGTAAGTCCTTATGTAGTGATATGGGATACCTTGAAAAAATGTGGTAATTTTCACCTCATTGTTTTTACATGACATCATTTGTCATCATTGTTGTTAATATAAGCTACTCTATTACATTTGATTCTGTTCAACATTTCCAAGATATTTTACAGAATCAAAATGAAATTTAAAGTAGGAACAGTTAAAACATTTAAGATAGGCGTTGTTCATATGAGCATTTGAAGTATAATTTCTTGATATGCAGCTGTATAGGTGCTCTTTAAAAAAAATTTAATGAGTAATACACTCATTTAAGTTATAAATATAACAAGTGTAGGTGTGATACATGTATATTAGATCTACCCACTGAATTAAATCATAAAGGTTTAAGTACAAATTAAACTGTTACAGTAATGTTGTTTTCTTTGGATAAAAGTTTTCCTTCATTTAAAACTTGGCAATAATGTTTTGACATGGCATATCTATTTTTATAGACACTTTATGTCCTTAGCTATGATTTAAGTAAGTTTTTGAGTAAAATTCATGCAAAAGTACGATCATTTGTATGTTTAGCCTTTATTTATAATACTCAATACGTGTATCTTAAAGGCATATCTATCTTTCTAAACACTTTTAATTTTCTGCTTCATGCCCTTAGATGCATTAATTTAAGTAATTTTTAGAGTAAAATTCATGCAAGGATCATGGAGGATCATTTGTATGTAAAGCGTCCTTTATCATTCTCAATATTTTAAATGGACTTGTCCATCTTTCAACCTGGACAAAACCATTCACCATATTTACAGAAATTTTCAATTTATTCTCAGTACTGACTGAATAGCAAACCATGTTTAGACTGCACAGATGTGCTGACTGAATTTGTTACAGGGTCTACACTGGTAGCATGAATAAAAGTATTTTGCCAACAGCAGGCTTAAGGCTGGGTGGCCCAGCAGATTTTTTTTTTATAAGAAATCCCCACCTTTTGGCTCACCAAAGATCTGGGTAATTTCCCTACCCAGTATATGTTCACTTTACACCTGGGTATCAATTCCCATGACAATTCCTATTCAATGACCTAACATCTGGGTAATTCCATGATGTAGAAAATGCAGGAGATTGAAGTAATATTTTATGGTCTTTTAAATATTGTCTGTTTGACCCAAATTAACCATCTATTTTTCAAATCAGTTTAAATATCTGTACATGATATATATTGGTGCCAGTTTTGGAATTTGATGATGGTCATAAAATGAAGAAAATTTATTACTTTATTATCAAAGGCTATTTTGAGTTTACCTGATAACAAGTGTTTTAAGGTTGTACATAATAACTATGGAATGCAAAATCAGTGTTAAATACTTCCTTGATCAGTTTTTTCTTCTTTTTTTTGTCCATCCTGTTGTTTGGATACCTTTCTAGTTATAGTTGAATCAAATATTTTTTATGGAAAAAAGATTCAAGTGACAGTATATATAATGTGAACTGTTATGATCATTTTGTCCTAACTTGACAATTTAAATGAAAACCTCAAGTGCTTCACCATACATGATTATATGTTCTTGGGTAAGGGTAGGCTTCTGAGTACAACCTCAGACCTAAAACATCCATAAGCGAACTGTACAGAATATTATATAATATTAGCCGGTATAAAAGAATTCAACCTTAATGATAAGAATTAAATCCAACAATAAGAATTGAACTTTATAGTAATATTGAACCCAACAAAAATTGAATCTAATGACGAGAATTGAATCTAATGACAAGAATTGAATCTAATGATCTAATGACAAGAATTGAATCTAATGACAAGAATTGAATCTAACTAATGACAAGAATTGAACCTAATGACAAGAATTGAATCTAATGACAAGAATTGAACCCAATGATAAGAATTGAACCCAATGATAAGAATTGAACCCACATTTGCTTCACGCAAGTGATTTGACATCAGCAACATTAACAACTCTGTCTCAAAGACCCGCCTCCCTTTTATTTTTGTGGAACAAATAGTGAATGAAGTTTGACTTCAGCAATCAGATTGTTTAAGAACTTTAAATTTCATTCTTGAGTTATAAGTATAAAAAAATGAAAGATTAGGTTTTTAAAGAAATATGATTTATTAGCTCGACTTTTTTTTTCCATATATATATATGGAAAGGATTCATACTTTGACAAAAATAATGTGACAAGACAGACCGATTTAATTTATAAAAAGGAAACATTAAGATTTGTTCAAACATTTCTTTGTTTGCTTTTAGAAAAAGTAAAAAGTCGAGCGTTGCCCCCGCCCGGCGGTGGCTCTTGTTTATCATGCAATAAGTTATCTTAACATAAATGTAATCTGTAATATCTCAGGAATGATTGTATCGTAACATGAATTTTATTTTTAGAAAAACAATTTAAAATTCTGAATGTAAATGTAATTCAAAAGACAAAATTTAATATTAAGCAAATTTGTGTAAATGATAAGAAAATTAAGATAGTTTCAACAAGCCTTGATTTACCAGAATATTCGTACAGTTACATGTAGTTCAACCCTAGGCTTGTATACATTTGAATATTATCAACAAAACTACTGAAAAAACCGTACAGATATCTAAATATACAGATACACCTGTCTATTAAAGCCAAAACACAAACATCAGTTTATAACTTTGTTACATTCTTGACTTCCAGGATAGGTACTATTTTTCACTATTGTAATTCATATTTGAAGTTTAACAAGCTAGTGGCTTTGTCAAACAACTAACTCCCACATGAATGTCTGAGCAAGTAATTCTGACCAAATTATGAATTTTTTTTCCTAGACATAGACTTTAAACATCAGAAAGGATTAAACTTATTGAGTCTAAATACATGGTTTGAATTCAAGAAATCCAATTATTAGGATTTTAGATAAACAGAATTCCAACATATATCTTTGCCCAACTTTTTTTTTGTCCAGTGATAAGGTCTGAAATTGAAAATTTGTGTGTGTATTTTCTCTAAAATTTTGCTAAACATCACATCTTAATCTGGATAAACAAAGAATTTGCTCAGCATCAATTTATTAAACTGTCCATTTCCAATTTTGTGTATATCGATATCTAGATGAAAAAGTGAAGTTTGTCAGTCAGCATTTATAGAGCCTTAAGTAAGACTGCATAGACTGCAGGCTGGCCTAGGCAAAGGCTACACAAAATCAGATCTAGAGGGCATGGGTTGAAAACATTTTGCAGGCTTACCTTTACAAGGTTTTGTTTCTTGAAAATTGAATAATTTTCAGCTGAACTATTAGAGGAATAGTGAAGCTATTTTTCTTACTCTGGTGTTGGCACATGTAGAGTTAAGGTTTTGCTTGCAACCTTATATCTCATTAATCACTGATGGTATTCTCTTAAAACTTTCCTTGTATAATTAGTCAAATGGAGACCTATAACACTGGCAGTGATTATAAAGGTATAATTCTGGTAAAAGTCCTTTTATGCCTAAAAACTAAAAATTGTGGATGGTGGAGGATCACTAACATGTATAATTGATTATAAATTGATTACTTTCATCAGACTATATAATCAGTTATTAATATTTTTAACAAATGATTATATTCATTTGAAACTTTACCCTCATCTTAAATGAAGGTCTGTCTGCAAGACCCGTCACTTTAGCTTTGATTTTGATAAGTTATTTCCCCATTGTGAAAATTCCTGCTTTAAAGGTTTTGCATGACAGTTCCGTTTCAAGGAGTTAACAACCGCTGCATTGTTGGTCATTATCCAAGACCCCTAACTCTGGAATGGATTTTTCTCTGAATTAATCCCCTTAGAGAATTAATCCCCTTAGAGAACTAAGAAAATTTCTGCTTAATTTTTAAAACTCAGATTGTCATTAACGTTTTGTGTCATTATTTTTAAACATAAATTCTTAATTTGCTTACAAAAGCATGTATTTGATTTTTATGCATGTGTTTACAGGGTGTGTTTCCAGCATGTCTAATACATATAAAGCAGTGTGATGTTGACAGGGATGGGTATGTTGTTTTTTGCTTTATTAATAATATCTTAATATTTTTAGTAACATATGTAAACATTCTATGTTTTAGATTTTTATGCTCCCTAAAAAATTTCAGGGGGGGGGGGGGGGGCATATAGTCGCCGGATTGCCTGTCAGTCTATCCGTCAGTCAGTCCAACCGTCCGGAATTCGTGTCTGGCCCATAACTTCGTTCTTTGAAGTCGAATTTTACAACTATTTCACAGAAATGATCACCATATTGAGACGACATGTCGCGTGCAACATTTGGGTCGCTACCTTGAAGGTCAAGGTCACAGCATGACCTTGCAGCAAAATTATGTCCAGCCCATAACTTTGTTTTTTGAATTTGGATTTTACAACTGTTTCACAGAAATGATCACCATATTAAGACAACGTGTCGCGCGCAATATTTGGGTCGCTTCCTTGAAGGTCAAGGTCACAGCATGACCTTGCAGCAAAATCGTGTCCGGCCCATATCTTAGTTATTTGAAGTCGGATTTTACAACTATTTCACAGTTAGGATCACCTTATTGAGACGACGTGTTGCGCGCAAGTCGGTAGATAGATCTCATTGAATAGAAGTGCAGTGCAAAGAACAGTTACTCTGCCTTGCCTAAGTTTGGAATTATCACACTTTGAACTTTGTCTGGGACATAACTCTGAAACTATGAAAGATATACTTTTCCGTGTCCAAAACCTAGTCGGAGAGCATCACCCGGTTCAACTGGCTCTTGTTTTTTTAAAGTCTTGGGCTTTATTGCCATGAACTAAATTCCGACTACAAACGGTTAAAAATTATTGAATACCAAAGATTGTAAAAATAATGTTTTGGAATTGACGATATAAGCTGATGTTAGAAATCTTTTGACGGGAAAGCATTACAGTAAGACTACCTTAATAACTGTATAAAAAAAAAACAATTAACCCCAACAAACACAGTGTTTCAGAAATTTTGCATTTGTCAGCCAATGCATAAATTTCATCGGTGACAGGCTAAAAAGTATTTATCTAAATAAGTTTCATAGGAAATGTTCAAAAGTCATTCAAAAAATGTCTGCCATGTAAGGATTGTACAAGAAATGTGAAGTAAATGCTGGTAATCATGAAGAGTATGCATGAATCTTTTTTTATACATTTAAAATTTTTCACTGAAGAGGACTACAATCCCTGTTAAATTACAATATTGCTAGACTTTTTTGTAGAAATTCCACATCTGAACAAAAAACTTCTATAAAATAAAAGTGGGATTTTCTAAATTACCAGCATTTGTTCACTCACATCAGAGTAGATTTTTTGATGCATAAATACTGATTTACTGCCATGAAAATGTCTCGTATAATTGCTTCTGTGAAAACAAGTGTTGAATCTGAAGTAAGGATAATTATTTCTATAAAAACACAACTGGCAGCTGACATTTGGAGGGAGAAGCTATTATTTTGGGAGTAGTTATTATTCTTATCACAATGTATTTACAGAATGATAATTCTGATCCTTTTACTGTTGTTTCTTTATAGGTAATTACAGGCATTGTTTAGTCTTGGAACTTTTATATGAAAATGATATCAGTTAAGGTCAAGGTCAAAGAAATTTCTCGATTTTTTATTTTTATTTACTTATCGATTGTCTGCAAATGTTAGCCTGCAGCATTGTTTGGTCAGAAGGGGTCAGAAGGTTGACAGTTTTAGATTGCATAAGATTGTTTCTGTCACAAATGATTAAATGGATAAGTTGAGTACAAAAATGTTGTCAGACTTCTTTTCGGAGCAAATTGCATGGTTTCCCAACCATTTTATTGGTGTTGAAGAAATATGATATAACTCCAAAATTTTTCTGTTTGCCCTTAATAAGTCACATATTCTTAAGAACTTTCATTAAACTAATGATTTGTGAGTATTATGAATATTTTTGATATAATAATTTTATGCAGGGGAGTGATGGCCTTGTGGATAAGTTGTCTGCCTCTCAACCCAGAGATAGTGGGTTCGAGCCCTACTTGGGTCATGACCATGTGATTAATATAAGTTGCAAGAACTTGTTCGCAATAAAGCTTGAATAAATATGAATGTAATATTTAATTTGTAGAAATGTCAAATTTATTGTGAAACAGATACATTCTCATTTTAAAAATATTGTTTTAAATATCATGTTTCATATCATGTTAATTTACAGATCACATGATATTGTGACTCCAAAAGAAGACATAATGGTGAGAGAAGTGGGCTATGTTTTGCATGAGTGGAATGCTATTTGGAAAGACCTGTATGTGGTAAGTTAAGATAACGTGGTAAGTCTATCCCTATACCTGCCAAATCTGTAGAATGGATTTACCCTGCTTTGAATTTCAGACAGTCCATTTAAAGTTTAAGGGATTTCAACTTCAAAATACTTAAATTGAGCTACCAACAGTATAAAGCCTGGCAAGACTGCCTAAAAGACAGCTGTGGATATACAGGCTGACCTTGGTTAATACATGTGGCAAAAGGTAGTCATTTTGGTTCCAGCAAGGTATTGACTAATGTGGTAAGTTTAAAATACACATTCAAAACATGTTAATCTTCATTTACACTTACCCAAAGGGTTACTTAGGTGGCTGACTTGATACCACTCTTCCCCTCATTGTTGTGAGGAAGCTATCCAGCTAGATTATGGAACTATGATGGTTCTTCTCATGTACCTGTTCCTGCCTGAAATAAGGCCCAGAGGGGCACCTGATCAGTGATGTCTTCCTCTATAGTATGATGAGCTGGAAAGTTGAAGTATGACTTAATTTATAGTGTTCATACTACTTAAAAGTCAATTAAAAAGAAATTACGCTTACTAGATTTGTGGAATGAACATGGTTGCTGCGAATTGTTATTAGTGAGGTTACAATAACTAGATACTAAAGTGAAGCAACCATTATAGTATTATAAAATCTGGTAGTAGTCTGCATGGATGTCAAACCAGACCTGCGGCTCTGTACTGGTGGAATAGGCATATCATTGTTTCTGCTAAGATTTGAAGGGTGAACAATGGAGTTTTAATCCCATTAAAAGTATCAAAATTTTACATAACCAGTCAATTTAACACAGTTTTGCACAGCATTGCATATTTTAAATATTTTAATGTTTTTGTTCATATTTTTTTTTCTCTCCAATTTTTACAGAGAAATGGTGCATTGTTTGAAAAGATCAGATCCAGTATGGAAGAGCTGATTCATTTACGAGCATTATTAGTGGATAAAAAACTTACAGAGGAAGATGGCCGTGATATCAAAAGTGACATTGTCAGTGTAATAGACTGGGGAAATGGGTAGATATTTCTGTATTTTATTATATTAGTGAGATATATCTCTGTATTTTATTATAATAGTGAGATAAATTTAGGAAATGGCTAAACACATGGAAATATTTGCCAGTGTAATATACTGGGGAAATTACGAGGGTTGTCCCAATATTCTATGACAATATTGTTTAAAAGCTAGATAAAATAGGTACGAATTTAATATTCTAATATGTGATAAACACATATAAAGGAAACATTTTCACAAATTTACTTGGTATAATATCAGCAAGAAATGAGTAGATATTATTTCTATGTTGTAATAAGTGAACAGATATTTAGGAAATGGGTAATATTATGTAATAGTAATAGGAAATATTGTCAGTGTTACAGATACAGAAATGGGTAAATATCATTTCTATATTGTTATTAGTGATATTAAATTAATTTTGGAAAATGGTAATTAATGGAAATGTTGTCAGTGTTACAGGTAAGGAAATGGGTAGATATCCTTTCTTTATTGTTAAATTGGGAAATGGGTAAATATAAGGAAATATTGTCAGTGTTACAGAATGATAAGGAAATGGGTATAGATATCTGAATTGTTATTAGTGATGTAGAATTGAAAAATGGGTAAATATATGGAAATACATTTTACTTTCAGTGGTATAGATAATGAAATGAGTAGATATTATTTTATATATTGTTATTAGTGATAGAGAATTTAGGAAAATGGTATATTTATGGAAACTTTATTTTTGTGCCCCCACTTTAGTGGCTGGCATTTAGATTTACCCTTGTCTGTCCGTCCGTCCTTCCATCCGTCCGTTCACTTTTGTGTCACACGTAACTCAAAAAGTATTGACCTAGAGTCATGAAACTTTACAGGAATGATGATCAGCAGGTGTAGTTGTGCACCTGGGTATTTTCGCCTGGATATTTTTAGCATTTTCAGAGTTATTGCCCTTGACTTAGTAAAATTTTGCAATTTTCAACTTGTGTCGCATGTAACTCAAAAAGTATTTGACTGAGAGTCATGAAACTCTACAGAAATGTTGATCAGCATGTGTAGTTGTGCACCTGGGTATTTTCGTCTGGATATTTGTAGTATTTTCAGAGTTATTGCCATTGACTTAGTAAAATTTTGCAATTTTCAACTTGTGTCGCATGTAACTCAAAAAGTATTTGACCTAGAGTCATGAAACTTCACAGGAATGTTGATCAGCATGTGTAGTTGTGCACCTGGGTATTTTCGTCTGGATATTTGTAGTATTTTCAGAGTTATTGCCCTTAATTTAGTAAAATTTTGCAATTTTCAACTTGTGTCGCATGTAACTCAAAAAGTATTTGACATAGAGTCATGAAACTTCACAGGAATATTGATCAGCATGTGCAGTTGTGCACCGGGTATTTTGGTCTGGATTTATTTAGTATTTTTAGAGTTATTTCCCTTGACTTAGTAAAAACCGTTTCATTATGTTGTTATTTGTTCCTTGAGTGCTTGAGTTAGAATCAACCAACTTTACAGGAATAATGATCAACATCACTAAATTACAGGAATAATGATTCACATCACTGTGAAGCTATGCACCTGGGACTTTACATGTGGAATTTTTCAGTTTTGTTAGAGTTATTGCCCTTGACTTTCAGTAGTATAAATTTGCAATTTTCAACTTGTTCATGCATAGCTCAAAAAGTATTTCACTTGTAGGCCTGAAAGTTTACAAGAATGTTGGTCAGCATGTGTACTTATGCACCTTGGGGTTTGCTTGTGGATTTATTCAGTATTTGAAAAGTTCTTGCCCTTTACTTAGTAAAAGATTTTTAGTTTTCAAAAAATATTTGCTCTAGAGTCAGAACAGTGGCGCGTAGGGGGCACCCGTGTCCTATGGACACATTTCTAGTTTGTCAATGAAATAGATAAGGAAATCGGTAATCTGTAAACATTTGTATCTTTTATATGGTTAATAGCATTGGAGATTTGGGAAATAGATAAACTTGTATATGGAAATATTGTCAAGTGTTATAGATATGGAAATGGGTAGATATCTTTTTTTTTAGCAAATCTGTTTCTAGCCAGTGGAAATTTATTTTTTTAACGAATGATTCTCCACCATTACATTAATAACATATTAATACTTCATTAATTAAACAAAAAGTCATGCAGGGACCGTATTGTACGTTCTTGGTGTTAATTGTTACTGTATGTTAAGTGTGTTAAAATGGTCATAAAAAATGGTGTTTTAAAGAAGTATTATTTGTTGATGAACTATTATCTGTAAATTTATCAAATTGAAATTATAATAAATTAACATTACAGACAGTTAGATCTGGACTTGGTGCCTAGGATAGATGGTGAGCAGGTGGATGCTGAATTCTGTAGTCTCACTCAGTTATACAGGGTACATGTGAACAGTGCAAAAATAGCCTTAGCTGAAAAGGTAAACTTCATAGTTTCGTTAACTACACAGTTTCATTGATATATTATACAAAGGGGTGTCCATTGCAAAGTGGTTTTGAACAGCTTGCCCCTAACTGCTGTGTGTTTGAATTCTGTCAGGGACTTAATTGGGAATCATTTATGTTTGGAAGCTATCCAACTACCTTATGAAATGGTGGTTCTACTAAAGAACTCACTTGCGCCCGAAATTATGCTTGGAAAGGAACATGAGGTCTGCCTCCACCAGTAAAGCTGAAAATTGATCATATGATATTTACAGTGCGGGTGTGACTTAAAAGTGAACAAAAAATAAAAAAAATGTGATACATAAATGTTCACAATTTGACATAATGTCTACTTTATCATATAAATATATCAAGATAATATGATTCTGAATTTATATTGAATTTACATAGACCATGAAATATGTGAACAATTTAAAGATAGTCCTAGCTTAAGGGATAAAGTTCATAATGTGATTGTTTGTTTGTTTGTTTGTTTGTTTTTCCTATATAGTCAGTGCATATTGAAGTTTTTCCCTGAAAATGATAAATGTTTTTTGTTCAGATCGAAAGTCGGCAAAGTCCATTTTAGATATTTAGCGTGATATGGGTTAGTTAAGAAAAATTGGAAGATAATTATTTCAGCATATGCTGTTAATTATTTTTGTTATTATTTTATAAATTAATAACAGCCTATAAGAAAACGACGGAAAACATGCAAAGGAGAGGTGGCGCTAGAGGCTGGTTTGACGACCCATCATTTACTTGTTAGTTTCCGTGCTTTTCAATGTAATGTCGGAGACAAAACTGAAACTCTTCTATCACTGTATCAGAACAGAGACAACAAATTAGTCTGCTTTACGTGAGTATTTGTAGAAATGAATTCAATGATATACCTTAATTACTTGTTTTACTTTTACATATTTCCTTAGCAAACACTTCTTGTCCTACATGAATAATACCTAAATATACACCTTGTTCTACTTGAATAATGCCTAAGCGTACAACTTGTTCTACTTGAATTAGCCTAAATATACAACTTGTTCTACTTACATATTGCCTTAGCATGCAACTTGCTCAACCAGCAATGTGCCTTTGCACACAGTTTGTTCTTCTTGCATAGTGCCTTAGTGCACAACTTGTTCTACTTGAATGATGCCTATGTATACAACTTGTTAAATTTACAAAGTGCTTTAGCATACAACTTCTTCAGCATGTCTGAATATGCAGAAATAGCATTTTCTCTGCTAGAAATAGGGCAGAAATCTACTGAAAAAAAGGGTAAATTCAAGGGCAGATTACTAAAATCACAAAATTACTAAGATCATGCAGATTTTAAATAAATTTCATTTTTCAGTTTTAATTGTACCCATTTGTCAATATGCCATTAATATATTTTTAGATTAGTTAGATTTTTTGATAACTGTTATACACATCTGATGGTGTGTAGCTTTAACTTTCAAGTTTTAACATAGCTTTAACATTTAAGTTTGAAGTCTTTTAGACACATTATTTTATATTTAAGGGAGAAGTAATTTGTCAATAATTATATTGTTATTTCACAGGGAGAAGTTTTTAGTGCGGCACACCAGAACCATGGTACCAGAAGACATGGATAAGCTATATAACTACTATGGTCTCTTCTCAGTATGTAGAACTTATGTAGAAATTATGTATATAACAAAATACCGAATTTTGAATTATGGCCATGTTTCGTTACCCAAAGCATTTTCACAGTGCTTGTTTGATGCACTGTATTTTCTAATGATCAAAGTGTTCTATATTGAAGACATTTGGCAGAAACATTTAATATACTTTGATGTTTAATAATATTCAAACTGTGTTCTTTCTAAACGGATATTTGGTGAGACTTTGTGACATACACAGAAACGATGTTGACTGTAGGACAGGGAGGAATTTAGGGGCACCACATGATACATTGTTATTTGTGACAGATAAATAACATTGAAAGATTCTAGTGTAATTAACAACATATGAGCCAAGACAAAGGTCATTTTTTGCACTTTTGCTCATCACCATGGGTTGATAACTTTTACCACATAATTAATTTACCTTTCCAGTTTTATCATTGAAAAATATAGCTATGTAACAATTTTCCTAGTTATTGCTGGGTTAATCACTTACAGGCAGTATCACAAACAAAACTAAGTGTACCAAGGCAACCTTGTGTATTTTTCCAGCATAGCAATTGGACAGCCAGTCTGCTAATTTGCATATAAATATAACCATTGGAAAGGTACATTGTGTGAAATGGCAGACATAATATTCTTACCCAGATGTGTCAAAATTTATAAACTGAATGTTTTTGTTTTAGGATCTGAGCACAGAGGAAATTGACAAAGATTTATACCTTGTTGCCCACATATACAGAATAGGTAAGTGGTTTCATATGTAAATATGAATGGATGGATGGATCACAAAGACTAGAGTTGTACAGAAAGATCATAGTTGTACAGAAAGATCATCATTGTACACAAAGATCATCATTGTTCACAAAGATTAAAGTTATACACAAAGATTATATTTGTACACAAAGATCATCATTGTACACAATGATCATTATTGTACACAAAGATTATTATTGTACACAAAGATCATTATTGTACACAAAGATCATTATTGTACACAAAGATCATTATTGTACACAATGATCATAATTGTACACAATGATCATAATTGTTCACAAAGTTCAAAATTATATGTAAAGAACATAATTGTACGCAAAGATCATATTGTAGAAAATGATTATAGTTGTACACTTGTACACAAAGATCATAGTTGTACACAAAAATTGAACTTGAACAAGAGATCATAGTTGTACACAAAGATTGTAGTTATACACAATGATCAAATCAGGTTTAAAATAGCACAAAAATATGATTTTCTATTTATTTCTGATTTTCAATTTATTTCTGAGAAAATTTCTTAGTTTATTATCTTTTGCATATCTTCATGTTTTAAGTGTCCCAGTTGGTTCTGTGTAAGAATTTAAAATTTTATGTTTTTCAGCTTTTGGATCTCAGCGGAGTTCCTTTAAGTAACATTGGATAAATTGATCAAATTCCAACACAATTTACCAAAACATGTTTTGCTTAAATAGCTTCATCAGTTGATATGATAAATAACAAAGGAAATGACATCATAAGTATCATCCAAATATATGTGTACAAGGAGGTATAGAATTAAAGGGTCATTCTATGAGTATTTTGACTTGCATTGGCTCTCATAGGATGTTGACTTCAAACCACTTGCCCCTCACCGCTGTGGGTTCAAATCCCGACAGGGACTTTGGATTCTTTCATGTGAGGAAGCTATCCAGCTAGCTTACGGAATGTCGGTGGTTCTACTCAGGTGCCCGTTCGTGCCTGAAATAATGCACGGAAGGGCACCTGAGGTCTTCCTCCACCAGTAAAGCTGGAACGTCGCGATATGACCTATACTGTGTCGATGTGACGTAAAACCCAAATAAACAAAAAAAAAACCCATAGATTTCACTAAATAGGGTCACGGTCCGTGCTTCACATTTAATGCAATCCTTGCTGAGCAAAATCTTTTTGATACAGAATTATTATATTCATTTTATAATTCAATTATATATGCGTATTTCTTATTACAGGGAGTATGAAACATGGCCATAAGTCACCAAAAGTTACGTTCAAAAGACCTTGGGCTGTTGGAGGTATAATATTTATTATTTTCTTTCCATTTTATATTTGTACGGCCATATTCATTCAAAATAAAAAAAAGGGCGTATTTTTTCATTTTCTATTATAATTTCACCAGCTGACATTTAATCACATTTTGGCAAATACTTACATCTTTTTCTAAGTACTGTTATTAGTTTTTTATGCTGTCTGTAACCCTAAGGCTGTGGTCAGCAACAGATTCTACTCATTTGACCAGTGCAGACCAAGATCAGTCAGCACATCGGTGCTGTTTTATCACATCGGTGCTGTTTTATCACAATCTGCACTGTCCGCTATTCCTTAAAACTTTATTTTGAAATGTTCCCTAAAAATGATGAATGGATTTATCTAGATTGAAAGTATTTATTTATGTTATTGTTAAATTGGCAGCTTTTAAAGGCCAATGTCTGAGATATTGATTGAGACGGTACCTTGCATGGATATTTGCTTTTCTCTGGTTGAGCTTCTAGACAATGGGGCTAAGGTCAAGGTCACTGATGATAAAATTGATTTTTTATAAGATTTTCGTCATAGTTTTTGCAAGGCCTTTAGGCTAGGTTAAAGCAATGACCTGATGACCTGGGAGTATTTGTTGTTGTAGCCGTTACTCTTTTTTATGTGAGTTTAAAGGCACACTGAGCTTCAGAAATGAATACATTTTTTTTCTTTAGGGCCAATGTTTGTTATGTAATCTTTTAATTAGTGATTGACAGCATTTAAGATGATTATCACATGAAGAAAAAACTCGCTAAATGTGAAATTATTTGCCATAAAAGTAGCAAAATGTCAACAACATGGTATTTTGACTTCCAATACAATGTATACTAAAACCCTATAACTTAACTCAAAATACATAAGAAGCAAAACATTGTTAGGCTAATTATGGCAAATGAGTAGATTTTTTTAAAAATGTAAAAGGACACCAGGATAATATCATTTTTTAGGCCTAATGGGCCTTTTATTATTTAGCAGGATTCAGATAAAATTTAAACATCATTTTCAAGGATATTATAGATTGTTGTTTGAACATGTGAAAGATTTAGATTTTTTGAAAAAGATGAAATTGAAATTTTAGAAAATACTTTAACCTTTTATTATTGTGACACTTTGTAAGTACAATATTGATGTATTGATAAGTTGACCTAAAAACTATATAGAGCAAAATTTATAGTTAATTTCAATAGCTTAAAAAAAGGTTTAAGTCTTTTACTTTCCAAAGTTGAGATACATTGACTCGTTATGGATATTCTTGCTACATCAGCATGATATTAGCATGATATTTCAACTTTATATTTCTTTTTCTTCTTTCTAACAGTTTTACCACTGTACAAAAGTGAATGTATGTATTTTACTTTGCCTGTCTGCTATTGTATATATAGCCTGAATACATCTATATTTTAGCTCGCCTCTTACCACATGTTCAATGTAACCATTTCTGTAGAGGTTGATAGACCTACATACATCCTTTTAAAAACAATTCAAACAAAAAGTTCTGAGCAGACGGTCATTCCCAAAATGTTCAGTACTATAACTGCAGTTTGTATCTCGTCTCATCCTTTCAGATTGTTTAAGGTTTCGTTTTGATTAAACTTAACAAACCCAGAACCTGCTGAATTTTTTAAATGGACTTGTCCAACTTTGAATTTGGGCCAGTCTATTACAACTTTAAGGGATTTCAATATCAAAATACAAAAAATTGAGCTACCAGCAGTATAGAGTTTCAGGTCAGACTGCACAGATGTGTAGGTCAGCCTGGCGCTACAATCATGGCAAAGGCAAATCAACTTACAGTTTCAGCATACTAAGGTTTAAATGGAGAAAAAAGAAATAAAATTGAAAAAAAAGGAATTTTGAGAGAATGTTTTTATTTTATGAAAGTTATGACCCATAAAATTGAATAAACTAGGTGAAAGGTGAGCAACCTAAGTAAGATCTTGTGTTCTTGTTTGGCTACACGCTAATGCATATTAAATTTCAGAAGGATTACAGTATATATATCTTTCTAGGGGATTTATAGCATTGTTTTCTCTTATTTGTAGACAATATTGAAGGAGTGTAGGTTCAATACTAAATTTACTGAACGAGTGGAATAAAATTATGTTATGTGAGCCTCTGGCAAGCATATTAATTTATTCAGCAAGTATGATAAATTTATTACTGGAACTATTTGAAAACAATATTCTATTTATCACATACCCAAAATAAGAACTGTTTCTAGTCATTAGGAATTATTTTTGCATAGACGCACTTCTGTTTTTGGGACTCCGCAAAAACGGTATTGCACAGCCGTTATTTGTGTTGTACAAACATAGCATTACACACGCCAAATGTAAGGGTAATACTGTAGGTGCATCAATGAAAACGTTTTTTTTTTCTCACTTCAAACAGTCTTTATTTTTGGTATGTGATAAATAGAATATCAAATTCTTGTAAGTTCATTACTGAATTTATTGAACTCATTGAATAAAATAATATTATGCGAGCCTCTGACATTAAATAAATTCAGTATTTAATTAACACTCATTCAATATCCTTTTTTTATATTATAAAAATTATGTAAATAAACTTTTTACACTGTGAAGTTCCACGTCTTGCTGTTCAGACATGTGGTCAGTTTTGCTCTAGATGTGTAATTATAATTTTACATGCTGTATATGTGAAATGTCGAGTTTAAGTGCCCATTTACATTGCTTGCGTTCTTACATTAAACGTAGATTTTTACATTCTACAGCCAGTCTGTTTTCCTTAATAAGGAGAGCATTGGATTTGTTATTTAGATATCGCTGGCTCGATGCTTTGGCTAGACAAAATTTTGCTGTGAATGTTTCTCTTGAAAATTGAGACTAAATGTTCTTTGTCTCGTTATCATATGAGATATGTAGTCAGCGAATTGAATTGGTAATTACTGGTTAGTTATCCAGGAAAGCCAGTTATTTGGTTATTATGACGTATTTGGTAAAATATTAATTTTATTGGGTAACAAAACGCTAGTGTTGCTTTTAGCTCATGAAAAAGAATGAATTGTGAAAATGAGTTCATATGAAGGTTACGAATTGGGTTTCGTCACCACTTAGTGGAACTTTATTGTGCATCATTTTACCTTAAAGGCACATTATGCCTCAGAAATTATTACATTTTCTTCCCTCTTTAAAAGAACAAAATTAATTGTGTTTAATTTGACTTATGAGCATGTTAGATGCGTATCACTTGAGGAATGTAGCACTGAATGTGAAATTATTTGTCATAAAAGTAGTAAAATGTAAACAAAGAAGGATTTTAGCTTCGATCTTTACAAATACTAACTCATTTTAACTGTACTTATTTGCAAAACGAAACAGAAATAAAACATAAATCAGGTAATTTGAAAATAAGTACTTTTAAAGACTTGAACAGGACACAAGAATTAACAAGCTTTTGAGGAATAAAAATAAAGGCATTTCTGAGTCATGATGGGCCTTTAAGCTTATATCAAGCCAAAAACTCTTTAGATAGCTTCTTAACACATGTGTGTAAACCCAGCACTTTGAAGTGTCATATCGATTCTTTTCGCTCTTTAAATGTTAATCTTTTTGCTCTTGGAAGTTCTTTTTTACATATCTTTGATATATTTTCTTGAAAACAAAGGATGATATATGGTTATATGTTAATGTAATAATAATTATTCCCTAACCCTAATTGTTATCATTGTTATATATATTAAACCTTTTAATATGGAATACCAACTGTTGAAATGATAATTTTATGATAATTAGTATATTCATTGCAACAATTGTAAGCTTTAATAAGATATTGCCTGGGGCAGGATTTTTTCTTAGGGGTTTGCTGAATGGTTATGGTCATTGATTTAAACACTTGCCCGCGTGGGCACTATTAACGCTTTCATTTTTCATTTGAGAAAGCTATCAAGCTAACTTACAGAACATCAGTGGTTCTACTCAGGTGCTTGTTCGTGCCTGGAATTATGCACAGAAGCACACCCAAAGTCTTCCTCCACCAGTAAAGCTGGAAAGTCGCCATATGAAAGATATAATTATTCTTTTCTCAATACCAATGTTTTTGGAAGCAGATATGGCCCCCTTTAAGGATAAGAAAAGACATGATTATTTCCAAAAAAATATTTTTTAGTATTCCTAGACAGTCCTACCACAAAGTCTTGTTTTGTTCCTACAAGAAAAACATTTGAACTACTGGGTCTCCTGAATCAGTAGAAAAATTAACACTAAACTTAGTCTTCTTTTAAGTTCGTCTGCCCGCTTTGTGTCTGCCGGCTTTCTTCAGTTAAAGGAGAGCATCAGAATTGTATTCCAGGGTTCACTTACTTGGTCCTCTGGGCAAACTTTCAAGTTTGTTTTAAAACCTACAATTTAGTGACCATTTCTTCAAGATGGTGGTCATGTGTTAGCCATTAAGACTTTATACTAGTATATCCATATTTTGTTGATATAAAAAGCTTTTTTGTATTAATTTTTCTTGGCTTATTAGAGTTTTAGGGCATTGTAGGTGGCCAGTAGCCAAGATAATTATACAATTTTACAATTAACATTGTTGTTATTTTGAGATTTTTCTACATTTATACATTTTCTTTATATTTTTAGTTCTTGTTCAATTTATTTACTTTCAGAAATCTTTAAAAATGATGTTTAAATTTTATCTGGATCTAAATTATGTTGAATATAATATTTATATGGGAAAAATAGACAAAACAGTAGATTTAACATAACAATATATACCCTATATATCTGTCCACAAAAAAAGGCTTAACAGACATACATGTACTGGTTGGAGAGATAACTCCGACACTAAACCACATATTTTTTGAAATATTTTAATTATCTTCCTGTATATTTTAAATATTGAACCACCTAAACAAAGTTCAGTTCAAAGACTTTACATTACACTATAAATTTTTTATGAAAATGGAATCTGGTACTTATTTAAGGTCCTGAATGAAGACATGGCCTTTTTACCCCACAACAGTATATAAAGTGGACACTTAATTTTTCAAGTAAAAAATGATGGGAAAATCAGCATCAATAATTTATATTTATGTCTTATATGTTTTATCTATTTTTTGTAGATATAAAAACAATTTTTCAAGAATCTTTCACAAGTCAGTGGCCTGTGGTCAATGCAATTCTAACTACCTTACTGTAATTTAGTAAAAGCAGTTTTTGCCAACAAAAAGTTAAGGTTATTTGAAAAATATTAAAATGTTTACCAACAAAAAATCCTCCTATACTACTAGGTGACCGTATGCTTGTTTGTTGAAAACAAAGTTATAACAATTATATTTTCCCGGTATCAAGTTTCGGGGTTATCTATGCGTGGGAGTTATCTCTCTGACCAGTATGACACTTGTATGACACTTGTGTATCAAAGAGTTCTTTTGTATATTTAGAGAGTTTTTTTCTTTATGTTTTTTATATAGATTGAAATTTCTTACATTTCAAGTACAATATGCATGAATTCTGCTAATTCTTATTTATAGATACATTTATATGTATGCATGTACTGTATAATATTAATATATACAAGTAACATATTCGACATTTTAAAATATTTAAGATGTTATATTTTCATTTGGAACAAAAATTTATTTTTCAGTAACAGCTCTGAATCTTGCAAGATTACCGGCCAATTTCAAGGATTATGAGTACCAAATGAAGGTCACAGAGTAAGTTTTATTAAACTTGTAAGGACTTAGCAAAAATAGTCTATTTGTATTTTAGTTGATACAGAATTTATTATCCCAATGAAGGTCATTGTGTTTGACTGAAACTGGTCAATGAATAAAGTGACTTAAACCTACTTTGGTGTTTTGACTTGTTCTGAATATTAGTTCAATTGTGTCGGAAGATATAAGCCTATAAACACATTTCTTGAATTGGTTTCTGGAACCAACCTGTGTGGAGCAATGAGTTGGAAACAATAGCATGCCCCCATGTGGGGTTTGAACCCATGCAGGCATACAAGTCTGACATATTAACAACGCGAACATGCTGCCACTAATGCTAATAGTGCTATGTGGTGTTTTGTTCTTACTATGGAACTTCTATATTTAGCTATTTGTGTAAGAATTGAATCTGGGATCATGGCAAAGTGGTTGACCTTAACTAACTTGATCTTTGATGCACCACTAAAATAACCAGAATTCACCAGATATAAATTCTGGTGCCCAATCTCTGTGTCACTGTTTTCTAAGTGTCTGAAGTCTTAGTACAACCCCATTAGCCTTCTGGCAGCAACTGAATCTACCCATGTGAATAGTGCAGACCAAGATCAGACCACACATCCCGGATGTCTGATCATGGTCTGCACTGTTTTTCTATTCAGTTTTGAATTTTTCCATAAAATTGATTAATGATCTTGTCCAGATTGAAGGATGGGCCAGTCCATTTTAAATATTTAACCTTGTAAGTGTTAATTTAATAAATAACATATACCAGTAGAATAGAGTATGACCTTGAAATCTTAAAATTTTGTTTAGAAACTGATTTTGGTGAAATGGTTTGTTGGAATAAAGCAATAAGATATGAAAAAAAAAATTAAAATGCAGATTTCAGAAGAGGTAATTTAATTTTCAGTTGTCATGACAACGAGGAAACATTTGCATCATTACATGAACAAATCATCAAGAAATTAACCCCTGCAGGGAGTCAGGTTGACAACAAGGGCAAACAAGGTCCAAGTAAGTGCTTGCGTAATGTTACCATATAAAGAATGGAATTATTTCAACCCTTAATTAACTGACTTTGTGTAATTGATTGGCCTTGCTGTTGATTTGGAACAGTCCATTTTGAGTTAAAGGGATTTCAATATTTCAAAATACAAAAATATGAGCTACCACTAGTATAGAGCTTGGTTAGAATGCACGGAAGTTCAGGTTGGCCTGGCTGTTTACTGGTGGTAAATCACTGTTTGTCCCAGCATGTTAAGGGGTGACATATTTAGATTCATAGTATGTTAATATTTTTAGATTGACATTTATTATGCCATTATGCGATGGTAATTTTAGAGCTATGATTCTACGGTAATCTATAATCATTTGAAAATGCTATGATAAAAAAAAATGCTTTAAAAAAATGGGGGTTAAAAGTATACAGGTGGTATATGTGAATCATTACTAGTATACAGAATTTCAATAAAGGGAAAATGATTAAAATTAAAAAATCTATTTGAAAACAGCATGTGACAATGGTTTTTGTTTATTTGATATCTTGCAGCACTGACTGTATCTCTACAAATATTACATGGTGACCTATCTACTGTAAAGAAGGAGGATCCTATGCTGTTCAGTAAAGGTGTTGCTCAGATACAGAAACTTGGTTTTACAGAGGACTTATCCCCAGGTATGGAAGGAATTATTTTATTTTAGAACAAATTTTTTGTACTAAAATGTTACATGTACATATACTTACAAAATTGACTTGACCACTGACATCAAACCATTCTATGTTGGTAATTATATATATATATTTGTATACACAGTGAGATGCTGCCTTAAGCCAACTGTTGCGATATTTTTTTTCATGGTTTTGACCAAAACTGGTGTTTTTCAACATGACATTTTCAGAAATTTTTTGAACACAATTAAGGTTAAAATGGCCAATGCTTGTCAGGCTCTTAAGCTATGTTATCAAAATTTGATTAAAGATAATATTATTAATTTATTAAGTAAAAAGGCTCTGTACACAATTAAAGTTGTGTAAAAGTTAGTTTTTCATAAACCATTACAATTTCATTGCCCTTTAAACTTCTGGAGAACAAACAACAACAAGAAAAAGATCTACCAAATTTATTCTTAAGCAATAATGAAAAGACTGAAGTGGTAGGGTAAGATTGGGTTGGGAAATATTTTAAGATTTTTACACAATTTTTTATCTTGTCTGTTTGGATGACAAAGCTTAGCTATATTATGATTGCTGTGTCATTATAGTGCAACAACTAGGATTTTTTTTTGAGTTATGCCCCTTTTAACAAGATTTTTTTTAGAAAATGACGAGTGTTAATTATTACCACAATCGGTGCTTTTCATATAAATCATGTATTATATACTAATATGATACTGTCATTGTATTAGATCATTTATTGATATATAATGTTGCTTGTTTCATTGTTCATGCATACTATAGTTACATTTCGGGAACATCAAATGCATGGTAAGTGTAGGCAACACAACATAAAATATCATATATAATAACGTGCATGTATTACATTATTTTGTCGTTCAGCTTTTATGTCTGTCTGCTTAATTCTTGTGTTCAATCTGACTAAAGTTTAGATCTACTTACATGTATTTTCTTACACTAAGATCTGATGACCATCATATATGTTTCACCTTCTTTATAATTTGGATTTCGCAAGAGAGCTGTTTTTAGCCATGTTATCAAACGGGTTTTTTACATATTGGCATTAGACGATTTATCAAAATTTCGTTGTTCATGGAAGTAATACAAATTGTTGATTTTTTGTTAGAAAAAAAAATTGTTTGATGTAATTTGAAACAAGTAAACTGGAAATAATTGTCTCAATAGTTAATGGACAAGATTGTATTGCCAGTTTACTTGCTGGTTATATGGACAATGCCATGTTTGTTCTCGAAATTGTGAAAGTTACATACTCAGTATTGGTTTTCCAAGGGTTGAAATAAGAAACCGCATCACTTTCAAAATTGTGAAAGCTCGCCTTTAATTGGCTGTTTGAAAAATCACGAGAAGGTGACAGCCTATTGCTTATCGTCAGATCCTAAGGCATAGGGTCAGTTAGGAGCTGATTTTAATCAGATTTGTTTTCCTGTTTTCTATCATTCCTTTCTCATGTTAAAAGGTAAAGTTTATTTTAGAAATGATTTTGGTGATTGCAGTATCCATAGCCTATTTACGTAACACTGCTTTGGAGTTTTGAATGGAAGAATTGGCAATGAAAACTGCAGGTCTGATTTGAAAAAAATTCTTCCATTTCAAATTGATGTATAAGTGTAAAAAAGGCAATAAAACACTGTTTATACATACATTGTTTTGACTGTAACATGACAGACCAGACAGATCACAACACTGATATTATTTTCTTCTAGCAGAAGTTACTTCCCTTCCACATTTCATGTTTGGTTATTCTATTTTGTGACCTTCCTATGCTCTGGCACTTCATCAAATTAATCATGAATAAAATGACAAGAAAATGACTGTTTCATTTCATACATATTAGATACAAGTTCTTCCTCATTCACTTTGTCAACAATTTTAAATTTATATAAGTTCTAAAAAGAGGTGCTTTATTGTTTGTAGAATTTATAAAAAAAAAATTAAAAAAAGAAGAAGAAAGGAAAAAAGGAAGAAATAAATAAAAGATGCATTCCCAAAATTTCAATTTAACTTTATGTTAACATTTAATGGGAGGGAATAAAACTCAACAGCGGTCACTTCAAGCATTTATCTTTAGCTTTCCCTTTGTTTTCATTGCTTTTATGTTCTTTGTAGTAATATTTTATCATTTTATGTAGAATAGTTAAAATTTCGTCTTTTGGAAAACATTTCTGTATGTTATTGTGTTCATCTTGATTATTCTACCTTTTTCTACTTTTTGTATATTCTGTCTGTTCTTCTGTCATGTGATAATGTTATAATTATGATGTTAACATTCAAGTTCAAATCTGCTTTTAATTCTTAGATATATTTTCAGGAATACCTACTATAAAAATGTTTAAGCAGAGCATTTTGGCCTTTCTGATTTTGGTTTAAAAAGAGAATAGCTTAGACTTACCACTAGATATTAGAGCTCAATTTAGCCAAGCAAATGATTAGAGCTCAAATTTAGCCAAGGTTATGAATTTAGAGTTAAAATTTAGCCAAGGTTTTGATACCAGAGCTCAAATTCAGCCAAGGGTATGATATTAGAGCTCAAAATTTAGCCAAGGTTATAATATAAGAGCTCAAATTTAGCCAAGATTATGATATAAGAGCTCAAATTTAGCCAAGATTATGATATAAGAGCTCAAAGTAAGTCAAGGTTATGATGTTAGAACTCAAATTTAGCCACAGTTATGATATTATAACTAAAATTTAGCCTAGGGTATGATAAAGCGCAAATTTAGCCAAAGTTAGATATTTGCATTAAGCTTTACTATTATGATTTTTGGCCAAGGTTAGGATCGCACTTGTCTTTTCAAACACACATTCTTTAAAAAAAAAAAAAAAAAGCTGCTGATTGAAATGTTAGATTTTTTTTATATTTTTTTTGTGCGAAGAAATATTGTTGAATTTAGAGATAGCTAGCTGTACAAAGCGACTAATATCTATTACTTGATTGTTCGAATGAATAAAGGAAGAAATGTGTTTCAATTAAGAGGTCGAAATAATATTTGTTGTTTTTTTTATACATGTACAAGTGTACTTTGTACTATATAGGGGTTGGGTTTTCATATTCAGCTTATGTTGGTATTTTATAAGAAAAGAAGTTAACATCTAATATACATGTATATATCAAATAGCTTTCATTTCATTATTTTTTTGGCTTTTGATATAAATTTGTTGTTGTTTTTTAATTTTATATCTTGTGTTTCATGAATAAAGAATATATATTTGGCAGAGGTTATTTTTAAGTTTAAGTTTAAGTTAGATGTTTTTTAGCAGCAGAAGTTTTTCTAGTGGCAGTTTTCACATTGTTCATATGTTCATGTTTTGTTTCATATTTAAAAAATCTGTGTTAGTTTTTAAATTGTTTCCATTTCTATAAGACAAAAACCACTTTGTACTTTATTGTTACAATTTAATCCAAACAATTTTCACAGCAAGTTTAAATTTTCCTTCTTTGCCGTTGTAAAAAGTTAACTAATTTTTTTAATAAGAGGCCTTATATCTTAAATCCAGGTACAGACTTGTAATTTCTGATAAAGGTAGCAAAATATGGTTTTTTTTACTTTCATAGAAACCACTAAATCACTATAATTGTAAATGCTAAGTAATCAAAGCTAGCTCTACTATCTGCCAATTAGTAACCTTTTAGAGTCTGTAATGGTACTTAAAAAATTAAAAGTGAAAATATTAAAAAAATTTAGGTTTAATGGGCCTTTAAATTAAAAAAGTTTGTTCTTTAAAGGTCCAATTGAATGATGGCCAGAAATCACTTCTTTAAAACATGTCTTTAAATAACAAAATAAAAGCTGCTGTTTATAATGTAAGCAAATATTCATTTTTTAAAATAGTTATTGAGATGCAAAAGGTTATATTACTTGATTGTAATGAATAAAGGAAGAAATGTGTTCAATTATGAGCAAATCTAATTTTGTTTATATTATACAAATTAGCAAAAGCTTGGGTTTAAAACTTCCTTTACTTCGGTTATAAGGAGAGTTTAACCACTCTCTTCATGGAGATTTTTGCTCCTTTGATAGAGAATTTTTTTTTTTTTAGAGAATTATATCTCCATGTTCAGAATAATGTTACTATTTTGCAAAAGGTTATTTTACGTTTACACTTAGAGTTTTATACCCAACAGAAGTTTTTAACTTTTCACTTTTTACAGAGCATTTTGTTTCTACTTTAAAAAAACACATACCTGTATAGAAGTTTGCTACCTTCCTGATAGGACAAAAACTCACTTGTATTTCATTTTACATTTAATAAAAATTTTCAACCTAACCTTTAAATTTGTTTTTCATTGTAAAAGTATAATTTTTTTAAATGAAATGGCCTTATACCTTAAAATGGTACACTGTAATTCTATAAGGGTAGCCAAAAATTTTTTTAATATACTTCAAGAAACCCCAATCACTGAAATTTGAAATGCTAAGATCACAGGACTAGCTACACTTTCTTATAAAATTAGCAAACCTTTTATCCAATGTCAAAATTATCACAGAGACTCATGAAATATTTCATTTTCTTCAGAAAACAATGTAGTGTTACTTTTTTAATTAGTTTTTATACTTAAAAATACCCCACTTTCATCCAATCACCTCATGTATAAATTGACTCATACGGTTTTCCCTGCACTTTTTTTCAGCCAATCGCTGGCGGTGTTACAATGCGTTACCCTGACCTGTACAGGAGAGTTTTACTCCCTCCCTGTACAGGAGAATTGTACTACCTCCCTGTACAGAGGAGTTTTACTACCTCCCTGTACAGAAGAGTTTTACTACCTCCCTGTACAGAAGAGTTTTACTACCTCCCTGTACAGGAGAGTTTTACTCCCTCCCTGAACAGGAGAGTTTTACTTCCTCCCTGTACAGGAGAATTGAACTACCTCCCTGTACAGAAGAGTTTTACTACCTCTCTGTACAGAAGAGTTTTACTTCCTCCCTGTACAGAAGAGTTTTACTACCTCCCTGAACAGGAGAGTTTTACTTCCTCCCTGTACAGGAGAATTGTACTACCTCCCTGTACAGAAGAGTTTTACTACCTCCCTGTACAAAGGAGTTTTACTACCTCCCTGTACAGAGGAGTTTTACTACCTCCCTGTACAAAGGAGTTTTACTACCTCCCTGTACAGAAGAGTTTTACTACCTCCCTGTACAGGAGAGTTTTACTACCTCCCTGTACAGGAGAATTGTACTACCTCCCTGTACAGAGGAGTTTTACTCCCTCCCTGTACAGGAGAATTGTACTACCTCCCTGTACAGAGGAGTTTTACTACCTCCCCGTATAGAAGAGTTTTACTACCTCCCTGTACAGGAGAGTTTTACTACCTCCCTGTACAAAGGAGTTTTACTACCTTCCATGTACAGAGGAGTTTTACTACCTCCCTGTACAAAGGAGTTTTTACTACCTCCCTGTACAGAGGAGTTTTTACTACCTCCCTGTACAGGAGAGTTTTACTACCTCCCTGTACAGAAGAGTTTTACTACCTCCCTGTACAGAGGAGTTTTACTACCTCCCTGTACAGGAGAGTTTTACTACCTCCCTGTACAGAAGAGTTTTACTACCTCCCTGTACAGGAGAGTTTTACTACCTCCCTGTACAGAAGAGTTTTACTACCTCCCTGTACAGGAGAGTTTCACTACCTCCCTGTACAGAGGAGTTTTACTACCTCCCTGTACAGAAGAGTTTTACTACCTCCCTGTACAGAAGAGTTTTACTAACTCCCTGTACAGGAGAATTTTACTACCTCCCTGTACAGAAGAGTTTTACTACCTCCCTGTACAGAAGAGTTTTACTACCTCCCTGTACAGGATGGTAGTTGCCAATGTTTGTTCACACCTGGTCTTCTGATGCTTTACTTTTTCTATTTGTGCAGGTGAAGTCCGCAATGACCTTTATGTGACTTTGAAATCTGCAGAGTTGGATAGGGGGAGTAAAAAGTCTCAGAAAAATGTCGAGGTCAAGATTACAGTACTAAATGAGGCTGGGAAATTGATAGAGGTATACTTAATATTGTTCTAGATTTGTTTTTCCAAATTGGACATGATTGAACATTGCTTTTTCTTATTTGAGGCTTTAATACTTGACCTTGTAAATTTTTTTAAAATAATCTTTTTTTAGCTTCCTGTTTTAGATCTGTTCATAATCAATTTTAGCAATATCATATTTAAAGCTTAAAAGTTAGTCAGCTAACAGTAATGAACCTGGTTAGGCTGCACTGAAGTTCAGGCTGGCCTGGCTCTATACTGGTGGCCAAATCCAGTCATTTTCAGTTCTACCAGGGTAAGTGTTAAATGTTATGTACTGTGCAAAAAAATGTAACTGTATGGTAATGTTTTTCTTTATTATGAAACTGTATGGTAGTGTTTTTGTTTATTACAGAATTGTATAACATATGGTTGTGGAGAACCACCAGCTTCAGAATATCATTCTTCTGTTCATTACCATAGCAACAAGCCAGAATGGAATGAAACCATCAGGGTATGTAACCTGGATTAATATAAAACTGTCATACGTGATTGTTGACATGATAATGATGGGGTGTATGGGGGACAGTCTTAGCTGTAGTAGCTGAGGTATCAGGGATGACATTTGGAACTGTTGCCGAGGGACAAAGTTTTGATTGTTCCACAAACATCCATGAAATAACTGTTTTATTACCTGATGCTTTGCAATCAAACTATAATATACATGTATATTACAAAAACGTACTAATAACATTTTTACAACTGCTTTAATTGTAAACTGTTAGCAACTGAATCCTATGGACGTTTGATATTCTAAAAACCACTACCTTACATTAAGCTGAGCAACGTTCGATAACTGAATATTGGCAGACGGCATAAACGAAAATACCCAATGACAATGGTGGCACAGTTTTAAATGTTGGCTGGTCAACAGTTCATTTCATTACTTCGCATGCACAGGATTTCAGTGGTTCAATTAAACAGTTGTAAATAAGGAATAAGTATATATAGAAGGCATTAGTTAATTAAATTAAATGATATATAGTAATTAATTTACAAAAAATGCCTATTGCTCTGCCTGTTTATCCATAACAATGCAAAATGTCTTAAATGGACTTGTCCATATTACAATCTGGACAAAACCATTCTCAGTGTAAAGGAAAGTTCTAAATATGTATTATGTGGTAAGGGTTAAGAAAGATTTTGGAAATACATATAAGTGATGTGATATATTATTGTTGCTGTCATTATTTTTTCAGATCTCTGTTCCCATAGATATTTTCCCAGGATCTCATCTCTGTTTTGAACTCTTCCATTGTTCCGGTAAGCTGTTAAAATACCTGTATATAGAGTAGAAATATCTGTTATATGTTGCGGTTCAGATCGGAATATCTGCCCTGACGGGACGCGCTCATTGGCAACCCTCATTACTGCCCATGGGCAGGTTCCCGAGGGACAGTTATTCTGAACCAAATGGCAAATTGTACCATATTTCATCATATTTTAAGGACGTTTTCTGGAGTTTTCATATAGACATATAGGAAAAATAAAAACTGTTCAATAGAATTTCTTTAAACTTGGCATGTTGTTAGAATATGATAAAAGAAACATTTTAAACGAAAAAAAATTGGGGTCACCGTTCTTTTTTTCGAGTTATCTGCCCCTGAGTTGGACTTTTTCTTTAAATTCAAGGGCAGATAATTTACAATGAAAGGAAACAAAACAATTTTTTTTCTTATTTTCATGAAGCTTACCTTCGTTTTAGTCGATAGGCAAAATTTCAAGAATGAATTTAGAGTAGATAGTTTTTTCCCACTTCATATTTTAACCTGTGCATTTTTTTCTTAAAAAATGGCCTATTTTTTAAAAATTTAAAGTATATTTATTTTCATTGAATTTTTTTTACAGAAATGAAATAAGGAATTGCATGTTATTATGTATTGTACTAAACAATAAAAAGAAAAACATAATTCAGAAGTTAAAACAAGAATTCATTTAAGTATGTATAAGTTATCTGCCCTTGAAATGACCTCAAATAAGTAGAAAATTCTGATTCAGGGGCAGATAACTCAAAAACGAGAACGATGACCCCAAATTTTTTTTCGCTTAAAATGTTTCTGTTATCATATTCTAACAACATGCCAAGTTTAAAGAAATTCTATTGAACAGTTTTAATTTTGCCTATATGTCTATATGAAAACTCCCGAAAACATCCTTAAATTCTTTACCTTAATAAAACAATTTTTTCATGGAAATTTATGTTATGACACCTGTAAATATTTTCTTGCAACAGCATATGAAATTACAACTTCATTTATAGCAGCAAAATTACGTCATCCTAAGCATGCCATTGTATAGCATGCGACTCGTCTGGCACCCATAATTATTTCAGATGAAATTTCAGGCATTGGTAAAAACAACAGAATCACCAGTCTGATATGCAAGAATGAGTTAAATAAGCAATACTAAGTCCAGCTTAGTTACTGTATTAAATTTATTTAGATTGAGTAAAATACAGAGTATACTTGAATATCAGACAGAATATTTTAAGGTTTAAAATGGTGCTAGAAAAACTCATCGTGCATGCTAGTCAGTTTCAGGAAAAACAGACTCTTAATTGAAAACAGAGTAAAAACAGACTCTAAAGTAAAAACAGACTCCAAAATACATGTATCAGGTATTTAAAGTTGCAAAAAGTGGTGTTTTGCAATCAAATATAGATTGTGTTTAACACCTTTAATTGTGTATTTCGTCACCTTAGTGCAATAACTGATTAACTGCTTTTAAATTTAAAAGGACTTATTCCATTATTGCACTGAGGCATCAATTTTTTTGTCATTTGCTTACAGTGTCAAACACCCAAAAAGAAAACAGATATCCGTACGGTTTTGCGTTTGTCCGAGTAACAAATGAAGCTCAAATTGTGATCAAAGATGATCAGCATGAACTCTGTGTTTATAAGGTCAGTGAATGTTGGATAATTAATTTTAACTGCTATTTCTTTGATTTGATATCAATTGATATTGTATAGAAATATTTGCCTTATGAATAATTATTCTTGCTAATCATGTCGGTTAAGTATCACTATTCTTGATAGTAAATGTCAATGAAAGAACTTTTTCATCTTGAAATGTAATCAGTACTCTTCTTGTAAATTTTGGTCTGTTTCATAACACTTTATGTCAATGAAAAGATCACAGCATTTGTAATTTATGTCAGTCAAAGGATCATAGCATTTGTGATTTATGTCAGTCAAAGGATCATAGCATTTGTGATTTATGTCAGTCAAATGATAATTTCCCTTTGTAATTTATGCTGGTCAAAGATTTCTCTTTGCAATTTATGTCAGTCAAAAAGACATTTCTTTTTGTGATTAATGTCAGTCAAATGATATTTTCCCATTGTAATTTATGCTGGTCAAAGATTTCTCTTTGCAATTTATGTCAGTCAAAAAGACATTTCTTTTTGTGATTTATGTCAGTCAAAGAATCATTCCTCTTTGTGATTTTTGTCAGTCAAAGAATCATAGCTTTTGTGATTTATGTCAGTTAAAGAATCATTTCTTGTTGTGATGTATGTCAGTCAAAGAATCTCTAAGATTTATATCAGTCAAAGAATAATTTTTTTTATGTTTTATATCCGTCAAAGAATCATTTTTCTTTATGATTTATGTCAGTCAAAGATTCATTTCTCTTTGTGATTTATGTCAGTCAAAGAATAATTTTTCTTTGTGATTTATGTCAGTCAAGGAATCATTTGTCTTTATGATTTATGTCAGTCAAAGAATCATAGTATTTGTGAAAGAATCATAGCATTTGTGATTAATATATCAGTTAAATAATCATTTCTCTTTATGATTTATGTCAAAGAATCATTTTTCTTTATGATTTATATCATTCAAAGATTCATTTCTCATGTGATATATGTCAAAGATTCTTGTATTTATAGTGTGATGAGAAACACCCGGTGAACAAGCAGCAGTATTTCCAATTACCATTCCTTCTAGATGATCTCAACGACCCACACAAGATACCACACATTCCAAACAAACTTATGTTCAAAGCCAATGAGCGCGAATCTCTAACCATCTCCACCCTGTTGTGTTCCGGAAAATTCACCCAAAATGGTGGGCATTGAAAATATGTCACATTTATTTTTGTTCATTTTTTTTTCGGTCTATGTAAAATATAACAAATGTCTTTTTTTTTCATGAGTTAAGTATTCATATAATTTACCTAAGATCTTTTGTTTGATCTATATTCTACAATCGGTCCAATCTTAAGCAGATACCAATTTATCTGGGTCACAATAGCCAATTAGTTCCTGTTTCATATGCAGGTACGCACATATATTCTGTTTAGAAAAACAGAGTAATAGCTCTTTGTACATTATTATGTTAATAAAAGCAAAGTTTATGAATATACATGTATAATGTTAAGAAAAAGCAGAGTTGTAGCTCTTTGTGCATAAGGAAAGTTTAAATATAGCAATTTATTTTAGTAATTGTATGAATTTATTCAATGTTTTGAATATTCCCAATTTTAGGTGATCTACTAGGAATATTGAATTGGAAAGGAGAACAGTTTTCCGGAAAGCTGGCAGAAAATCTTGACAAGTTAATCAGGATGCAGGGCGAGGAAATCGTAAAAGTACGTATAATTCATTATGATCACAATGTTATGTTATCAAGTTATGCTGTAAGATTAGCCATTGAAAAACGAAACTTGCGTTTTTAGCTCGACTTTTCTATGAAAAGGGGAGCTATCCTACTCGCCCCGGCGTCGTCGTTGGCGTCACACCTTGGTTAAGTTTTTCGTACCACCCCACTTTATTTCAGAAGTATTACAAGTATGGCTTTGAAACTTACCATACTTGTTCACCATCATAACCTCCATCTACAGACAAGAGTACATAACTCTGTCAAGGTTTTTGACAGAATTATGGCCCTTTTTTGACTTAGAAAGTGTATTGAGCTTGGTTAAGTTTTTTGTACCACCTCACTTTATTTCAAAACCATTGGAGGTATTGCTTTGAAACTGACCATACTTGTTTACCATCACGACCTTCATCAACAGACAAGAGGACATAACTCTGTCAAGGTTTTTTGACAGAATTATGCCCCTTTTTGACTTAGAAAATACATTGAATATGGGTAAAATCCACTTATTGCCTTAACCCTTTGAGATATTGCTTTGAAACTTTTAATGCTATTTCACATCATTACCCCCATCTGTACGCAAGAGAAGGTAACTCTGTCAAGGATTTGTTTTAAAAATTAAGGCCTTTTATCGACTTAGAATCTTGGTTAAGTTTTTAGTACCAGTCCACTTTTTGACTGAACTGTTTGAGATATTAATTTGAAAGTTGGAATACTTGTTTACAATCATGATTCCCAAACATGTCCAGGAGAAGGTAATTCTGTCAAAGATTTTATTTGAATTATGGCCCTTAACTGTCAATGTTTTGTATTATATATTAAATATCTTAATGCTCATGGCCATTGTTCACTTTAAAAATACAGAGATTCTTGTATTGCCTTTTACTGCAAAAACTTTTTTTATTGGCAAGCAATAAAAAAGTCGAGCGCGCTGTCTTACGGACAGCTCTTGTTACCTTAGTTGTATGATTGTAGTTGTATGACTCTGGTTGTTTGAATTTACACATCAAATGTATCAATAATTCTTGGTAAAGAATATATAGGGTAATAATCAGGACTTTCATTTTGCTTTGACACAACAAGAAAGTTGACTTATCAAAGTTTGGCACATAGGTCTACTGTAATTGATATTACTCTACTTATTATGCAATTTCTTGCACGCCCTAACTTTTGGAAAGGCCTATTGATTTGCTTGTTTCTGTCTTACTGTCAGACTGTCCTGTCCTCGTCCGGCTCTCATCACGTGGATAGACAAAGCAATGGAATGTTGGGTCACCCTTGTACTATGGATACATTTCTAGTCAGTGTCCCTGAAATGCTATTCTGTCGGTCATACAGTATATATGTTTATCGGTGCAGGGGTTTAATAAAGCCATTTAATTAAAACGATACTACACTTGTGTAATAACACTTTGAAATGACGACATTTGCATTATGTACTAACAAGCTAAACTAATACATTAACTGTAGGGGTGTAACAATACAGCAAAAACTGTATTGCAATATATTGCCATTTTGCTGAAGCGTATTGCAATATATTGCAATACGTATTGTTTGTATATGTTTTGATGTAAAGATGGAGTAACATTTATATATTATTATTATATGTATATATTTTTAGTAGAAACTTAATAAAAATGTAAGGAATAAATAGAAAGTAAAGTGTAACACAATTTGATAAACAAAACTAGTCGCGTGTGACCTTTCACATCTGGGCCGCTTATGTAAATTATGCGGCCGCTTATTGACTTTTAAGTGTACTAGTTGTCGGATACTTTTATCTTACGTTGGCGCCAAAAAAATTAGTCAATTAAAGATTTTATGTGAAATTTGTACAAAATTAGAAGGCAATTAATTGAAAATTATGATTTTTATAAAATACCGGTTTTCCAAAAATCGTACCGTGGTACGAAATTTATTTTTTCATATTGCAATATATCGGTATACCGGTAAACCGTTACACCCTTAATTAACTGTAGACGTGCCGGTGATAAATGGCTGTTTTTAAACTGCAAACCATTCTCATTTTTAGAAATATGATAAATAGTATATTATATTTGTGTAGATTCAATACTAATCAATACTAAAATCATTGAACTGGTTGAATGAAACAATATTATGCTCGTCAAAGGCCCGTATAATATAATTTTATGAAATCGTCACACATTTAACATCCTGTATTATATGTGTACACTTTCAGTTTCTTCATGACATTATGGATGCGCTGTTTGAAATGTTGATGGACGACATACAGTTTAAAAAGTATTCAAACAAAATATTCCAGTGTATGGTAAGTTGATTCCTTGAAAATCTCATTTAAATACTGTAAATTCAATTAATTTTGTTGGCAAGAAATTTCGGGGTTTTGTCAGAAAGAACATTTTTGTGTGTTATTAAATTTGTGGACTGTCTATTTTTCAATAAGGTAAAATGTAAAAAAATGTGATTCAAAATAATAATTTTACAATTGACCTTTTGTGTTTTTTCTTTTGTGTTTTTTTGTATAAAGCTAAAAATATATGCTGTATTTTTCAGGTAAATATATTTACACTGATACACCATGTACGGTTTGAAACGTTTAAACCTGTTCTAGAAAACTACATAGCTGATACATTCTCCGCAACACTTGTACATAAGTAAGTTTGATTTACTTTTACAACAAATTTTAACATCTTCACATTAGAAAATAATTCTAGTAAAGGGAAAAATATGTAGTGGTCCACAACTCTTGTACATAAGCAAGTTTGATTTACTTTTAAAATATATTTCCCCACTTCATGCTAGAACGTAATTCTAGCCAGGGTCTTTCAAATTTGAAAGACCCTGTTCTAGCAAAGAAAGGTTGACATACATAAGTAAGTTTTACTTAGGGTGTCCATAATTATAAAACATATGTGACTGACAGTGTTATTATTTCAAGTCATTATACCTTCACTCAACATAATTTGAATATATGTATCATTGCACATTCAACTACTTAGGCTGAGTGAGGGGGGGAGGGCATATAGATAAACCCTTGTTGATCGGTTCTCCTGTCTTGCTTTTACATTCTCTATCTAAAGACTGACAAAACAGTGGGGGCATCTGTGTCAAATTGACCGAATTCTAGTTGTTGATGATTTTATAAACCATAAGGACAAATTTTACAAGATGCAATGCAAATTCTGATCTATTTTATTTGTTATTTACTTGTTTTTTGTTTGTTTTTTATTTGATTGTTTGAAGGTTTTTTTTGTGTTAAATTTATTTCTAGACAAATGACATTTTTCAAAGATACATTTGTATATGTTTTCAATAACAGACCCCTTTGTGATTGTTTTGCTGAACTGATTGATACTGCGTGTAAAGACGTACGGAAAACCAACACTCAACTTATACAGTGCTTCCAGGTATGTTAGAATATATTTTAACCATTACTCAACTTTATTTGAATAATCAATATGTCCTGTGTAGATTGTTTTGTTGGAGAATGAATCATGGAAAAGATCAGACTACAGTTCAATCTCTACATAGCTGCCCTCTGTTGAGCAATAACCTCTTTACAAAGGTCATTTAGACTTCACAATTAAGTTAACCTCTCTGGAGCAACACCTCTATACGCAGCAAACACAATTTGTCACTTTAGTACAGTAATGGGTTAATTCATTTTAGATTATGATAGAAGTTAACATGTTTTTGCGCTTAGGTCTTTGAGGTCTTCCACCTCCAGTAAAGCTTGAAAATCACCATATGATCTTGAAAGTATCAGTGTAACTCATACCCAACTCACTTCTAAAACAGAATTTTTATAAAGTCAAACATTTAAAGTGGTCTTTGGATATCACTAAAGAGGTCTTTGGATATCACATAATTAAGTGTTTTAACTGAGCAATTTTACATTATACCTAGGTAATATAAAAAGTAATTTTCTTTGTTGCCTAGGTGATGGACTATATATTTAGATTTGTTGTACAATCACGTACATTGCAAAGGAAGGAGTAAGTAAATTTTAATTTCTTTATATTTATTAAAAAATTTGTGATAATTCTATCTTAAATCTAGAAATATGTTAGAATAAAAATTTTAATGTCTTGCCTGCTTATTAAGGATTAAGAATGATTTAAAAAATGAGGAAATGCAACAAACATGTAGTGTAAAAGAAGAGTTAGCAAAAGTTTTGCAAATTTTACTTTGTCAATTAAAGACTTCACACATATTCCTCAATTTGTATACAAATGGTTCATTTTATGTAATTGACTACCCATTTAACTCAATATGAAGAACATTGTATTTGTAATTGAGATCCTCAAGCAGGAATTTCTCCATAACAATTGATCTCAAACATTGAGTCTATAGTCTCTCACTGCTTTATAAGAAACTATGTGAAATAAGTAGTCAGTCACTTGTGGAGAAAATTGCTAATTACAGGTTAGTTATCCAGGAAAACCAGTTAGGTGGACCAGCCATGGCAATATGACAAAAAAGATGTTGAAATCGGTGTAAGTCAGACAATTTGAAATAAAATGTTCAATTTGCTATAAAACATAATCATGATGATACTGATTTATTGCTTTATGAATTTCCAGCGTATATAGCCGAGGGTCAGGGGATGCTGCTGAATTCAGGGAAAATATTCACAATGTGTTTGTTAGTATGGGAACTTTACTGAAAGCCACTTCAAACAATCTCAAAGGATACCAGGTACTGTTTTTAACCTCCATTTGACCTTCATCTTAACCTTCAAGGTCAAATTTTCAAAATTAATTTAGTTTTTCCATATTTCCAGGTGTTTTCTTTTATTGCTTTTGTGCTTAACTTATAGTTTGTTCATGTCTGAAGTAAACTGGTATGATCCAGTGTAAGATTTTATCTAAAATTTTGACTTGTGGCTCGGATGAGGATGTTTCAGTAGTTTAAAGGTCAAGGTCATTATAGGTCCAAAATGTTGCCAGAATGCATATAAGTATTGCCCCTTGCACAGGTATTTTGCCTTATACTCGACAATCTTTGAATTTGCATGTCTCATGCAAAAATTTGAGACTTTAATGTTTAGTGAGAAAAAAACTTATTTGAAATAGTAACAGTAACCTCAGCAGAAATGTTAAGTTAAATGAAAAATATTTATAATCAAATCTGTGTTAAAGACCCCCTCCAAATAATGATCACCCTGAGAAATAAAGCTTTTTCCACATAGAGACTGCCTGTCTGTAAAGACCATATTTGATCTTTCTCTTGTTCACTGTATATACAGTAAGACCCTACTAATAAGACTGCTTGTTGTATATAGAAAAATGGTCTTTTGTTACCAGTTAATAAAGAAACACCAATGTGTAAAGATAATCCGATATATTTTACATCAACCATAACTTGTTCTGAAGTCCTTGCCGCAGCTTCACAATAAGTGTTGACATGCGTGATTTTACAATTAACTTAAACTAGGTATGATCTGATTAATTGGGTGGGGTCTAAATATATGCAAAAATGTGAATTGGTCGGAAGAAAGTGGTTGTATTATGTGATGAAGGGGTGGTCTGAATTTTGTAAGGAAAGACCATTGAAATAAGAAGAAAAAAAGTTTTCTTTGAAAGATTGGTCGTTAAAGCTGATTGGTCATGAAAACTGGGTCGTTGTAAGGCGGGCCCTACTGTAGTTAGTTATATATTATATGAAGTATCTTGTTTTTATTTCACCACTCATAAGGTTGAGCTGCTGCACCATTTGCACCTTGTATATTCACCATTGATGGAAACACTGCCTGATAAAGACATGGCCCAGTTTCTACAACGGACGCTTGAACATATGCCGGATGTGACCGATGTCCCTGAAGACATCACGAGAGCTAAGATAGAACTTCTACAGAGAACCATAGCCACTAAACTCTTCTGTTCTGATGGTGGGTAGATTGTATATTCTTAAACCATTAGGTAGATTGTATATTCTAACACCATTAGGTAGATTGTATATTCAAACACCATTAGGTAGATTGTATATTCTAACACCATCAGGTAGATTGTATATTCTAAAACCATAGGTAGATTGTATATTCTAACACCATTAGGTAGATTGTATATTCTAACACCATTAGGTAGATTGTATATTCTAACACCATTTGGTAGATTGTATTTTCTAAAACCATAGGTAGATTGTATATTCTAACACCATTAGGTAGATTGTATATTCTAACACCATCAGGTAGATTGTATATTCTAACACCATTAGGTAGATTGTATATTGTAACACCATTAAGTAGATTGTATATTCTAACACCATTAGGTAGATTGTATATTCTAACACCATTAGGTAGATTGTATATTCTAACACCATTAGGTAGATTGTATATTCTAACACTATTAGGTAGATTGTATATTCTAACACCATTAGGTAGATTGTATATTCTTAAACCATTAGGTAGATTGTATATTCTAACACCATTAGGTAGATTGTATATTCTAACACCATTAGGTAGATTGTATATTCTAAAACCATAGGTAGATTGTATTTTCTAACACCATTAGGTAGATTGTATATTCTAACACCATTTGGTAGATTGTATATTCTAAAACCATAGGTAGATTGTATTTTCTAACACCTTTGAAGATTTTCCTATAGAGAGACAACAGGCTAGAAATGTGACTTATTTCACAATGTACTCACCTTTCCTTCTTCCTTCTGAGAACAATAAACATTTAAAAAATGTTGCATATCGACAGCTTAGTGTGAAAGGGTCTTAACTCCTTCTTTATTTCATATGAGTTATGACCCTTTCGCACCAAGCCCTCGTTATGTTTCATTTGTGTTTGTATGGATGTTCTATAGGATGTATGAATAATGTTGGTTCGTCAGTGGCCTTTTGTATCACATTTTAGTTCAAGTTATACATACAGTTGTTCTTATATGACATGAACTGTATTTTAATGCTTCATACATTATTGAAATACAAAAAAATGCACAACCTTGACCCTTAATTAAATGAATTTGACCTTGAAGGCCAAATTTTAAATATTCAAAATTTTTTACCCTTTGCTATTTTTAGCAGATTATTGAAGGGTGTATTTTGTGTTATGACAACATTGTTATTGTTTGTTATTGTTGTAAAATCATGTTGTTGTTGTTTTTTTGTTCTATACAACAGAATCTCGAGCTTTGTTGTTACCGTTCTGCCTGAAGGAGGTGAAGAAATGTTACGAGCATAAAATACTGATGAGAGTCGCCACGGATCTTCTCTCCGATGTCATGGACTGTGTCTTCAAAATGAAACAGGTACTCTTTTTTTCATATATAAATTATTAAATTTGTCCTATTTAAATAATTCAAACCAACATTTTGTTTCAGCAGTTACTTTACTTTCATGAAAAGACTTGATCACTTGGTGAATACTTTAAAGTGTACAGTTTTCAAGAGTTGTTTTGAAGCCATTACTTTTTCGATCTTTCCTAAATTTTCAAAATTAAAGCCAGAAGACTTTGGTGTATTTATAGCATTACAGAAATTCCACATTTAGAAAAAACAAAATCTAGTTGACATTGTGTATTTCTACCACTTTATTGCATATTTTGACCTAAAACACTTTGAAAACATAATTGTTTATTTCACACTTCACTTTTAGCAAATCTGCAGTGCTCTCTCTCTCTATATAAATATAATATTATGATTGTTGTTGTACTAAAACACTTTGCTTTTCAAATCTATATCAAACTACTGAGAACTCTTTGGTCAGGTTGGTAAAGGCCCCTGATTTCAGATTACTTGTCCCTCATCAATGCCAGATCAAATTCTCATGGAACCAAAAAAATTCCATGTGACAAAGCTATCCAGCTAGTTTATTGAACATGTTGTTCTACTAAGTGCCTGCTTGATCTTTAAGCCTTGTCGTCCAGGAAAGATAGAAAGTTGCTATATGACCTTTACAGTATCTCTGGGACTTTAAAATCTAAGGCAAAACAAACAAAACAAAACATGATGCATAATGTAAAGTCATTGAAGTTTGTTAGTACATGTATAGAATTATTGTATGGCAAAATTAATTTAAATGAGCTGTGTCATGACAAAACCAACATAATGGGTTTGCGACCAGCATGGATCCAGACCAGCCTGCGCATCCGCGCAGTCTGATCAGGATCCATGCTGTTCGCTATCAGTTTCTGTACTTCTTATAGAGTTTGTAAGCGAACAGCATGAATCCTGATCAGACTGTGCGGATGCGCAGGCTGGTCTGGATCCATGCTGGTCGCAAACCCATTATGTTGGTTTTGTCGTGACACGGCTCATATGTCCACATTTAATTTTACCATTAATCATAATAATTTCATCATAAACATGAATGATTTACTGGATACATCTAACTGTATGAACATCTGAACTGCTTATATGCTTATATGTTTGTATGTTGCTTTGATGTTTATGAGCTGAACTTTTGATATTTTTATATTGTGAGCCTAGCCCTTAACCTGCTATTTTTCCAAAAGGTAAAATGTAAATAATGTAATGCAAAATAATCTTACAGAAGATGAAATAAAATTGGTTGGATTTTAAATTTGTGGATTGCCTTATCCTCAGAAACCATGAAAGTTAGTGCCCTACAATTAATAATGATTTTGCAGTAATTTCTTATAATATGAAGATGAAAATTTGAAGTTAAGTCAGCCAACAGTATAGATCCTGGTCAGACTGCATGGATGTGCAGGCTGGCCTGGCATTATACTGGTTGCCAAGGCTTATCACCTTGAGTTCTAGCAGATTAAGGGTGCGAAATGCTTAGCAACTATTTATGTCTTAGTACTAGTGTAGAATACAGTTTAAAGAGGAAAGTGAAATATTGTCATGACTCTGAGGACATTTAGAATAAGTTATGACCATGTTGCCTTGAACTTGAACCTTCAGTTTCCAGGACACTGTTGTCTTAGGTTAAGTTAGGTCACCTTCGAGCAAGGGGAAATTTCTCTGTGACAAATGACCTCGGACATCGAGACTAATAAGTCTTATGGTCATTTGTGTCCCACTTCTGATTCAAAAATCATGCAACCTCAGTATTTGGTCACTTGTGGAGAAATTATTTGGTATTTATCTAGGAATGCCCAGTAAGGGGAACTGACCTCCGAGATTTGCCAAAACACAAGATAAAATTTGCATTAAAAATAACCAGGCAAGCAAACAAAAAAGGCAAACAAACAAAGCTATTTGTGTCTGTAATACACAAAGGGGCTGCTTCTATCGGTCTCTCTCTTCCAATAAAGCTCTCCCAGAAAGTCACTTTATGAATTTATTACTGTGCAAATGACTTCAACCTCTTGAGTAAATAGTCTAAAGTTGAAACATAAGTGTAATATTCTGTTGTTGCTTTGAATAGCTTGAGACTTGTAATGATGTTGATTTGTTAGTATTAGATGTTTACATATATTTTATATATTGATGTTTTATATTCCCTGTGCAGGCTTATGAAAAAACACGCTTAATTGATGTTGGGGTATGTTTATATTACACAGTAACCCTGTTGTGCTTTATAACCAAGATTATTTGCCATGTTGTTGTTGTATTGCAGGTCAATAGCTGGTCATATTCTGAATGATTTTGTCGGCTGATTTTTGCCAGTGAAATCTAACATGATTATTATATATATTATTATTATCAAATGTAAACTGTAAATTACTCGCCCACACTTTCCACCACCCTTAACACCCTGTGTACCCAGTATGCTGTATTAAAGTAAGCGTTAACATATGTGCATTTTGGTCAGACTCGTCGCTGTTTGCCAGCTCAATATAATAAGTTGGACATTTAAATCCTTCCAATTTTTGACGTTAATGGACTGAATTCAAATCGGGTCAAGTGACCAAGTCTATCATACAAATTTAGTGGAGAAATGCAGGAATATGATCAGCTGTGACCTAGATATTGTTGGGTGTAAAAAAAATTCCTGAATTAAGCTTTTCTTTACCTTAATCCCAGTTCCTGGTTTGAGTTGATTTGCTAATCTGGAGTTTTTAGCTCGACTATTCGAAGAATATGAGAGCTATTGTAGTCGCCCCGGCGTCAGCGTCAGCGTCCGCTTAGGCGTCTGCGTTGGTTAAAGTTTTTTGTAAAGTCAAATATCTCAATTATTACTTGAGATATTCAATTGAAACTTACAATACTTATTTATAGTAACAAGGTACATCAGATTGACAAGTTGGATAACTCTGCCTACAATATTGACAGAATTATGCCCCTTTTTAACTTAGAAATTTTGGTTAAAGTTTTTTGTAAAGTCAAATATCTCAATTATTGCTTGAGATATTCAATTGAAACTTACAATACTTATTTATAGTAACAAGGTACATCAGATTGACAAGTTGGATAACTCTGCCTACAATATTGACAGAATTATGCCCCTTTTTAACTTAGATATTTTGGTTAAAGTTTTTTGTAAAGTCAAATATCTCAATTATTGCTTGAGATATTCAATTGAAACTTACAATACTTATTTATAGTAACAAGGTACATTAGATTGACAAGTTGGATAACTCTGCCTACAATATTGAAAGAATAATGCCCCTTTGGAACTTAGAAATTTTGGTTAAAGTTATTTTGTAAAGGCAAATATCTCAATTATTGCTTGAGATATTCAATTAAAATTTAAAATACTTTTTTATAGTTACAATGTACATCAGTTTGCAAAATTGCATAACTCTGCCTGCAATATTTGCAGAATTATTTGCCCCTTTTCAAAGATATTTATTGAAACTTTACACATGCACTTAGGGTCATAATAGGAGGGTCATAATTGTATGTCACTGACCAAGTTCCATAACTCTATCCTGCATTAAGGCTGATTCATATCCCCTTTTCTACTTAGTCTCTTGGTTAATGTTTACATGTAAGTTTTACATATCTCAATAACTATTAAAGATATTTATTTAAAACTTCACATATGCATTTAAGGCCATAATTGTAGGTCACTGACAAAGATCCATAATTCTATCTTGCATTTAGGCTGATTTTTCTCCCCTTTTTCAACTTAGAAATTCATGGAAAAGTTTTGCTTGTAAGCTGTTATCTCAATAACTACTGAAGGGGTTGTGCCTTTTTTGGGACAATTTTTTGCATTCATAATAATAAAGCAGTGATTTACTTGATAAAACATCTTAATAACAAGCCTTTGTATCTTTTCTGTCAAATTTATGTATTCATAGGTAATTAGTATTATTATACTATATGAAATAAAACACCCTTGTGACATTACCTTCCGAATAGTCAAGCCAATACTGTATAATTAGACTGTCTCTAAGGCCTTTAACATGAATTTATAAGAAAAATTAGCCCTTTTGTGAACTTAAAAAATTTAACATCAAGGCTCTTTTCAATCAAGCACTTAGAATAGTCGAGCGTGCTGTCCTACCGACAGCTCTATTTGTTGTATTTAATAACCAAGTTATGTCCCTTGATAACCCAGGTATTTCCCAAGTTATGTTCCTTCATATAATGGTTTTAGCTTCATGCACATTGCTGCGTATGTTCCACTGTTAAAACCTACTTTATTTTTTTATGCAGGAAGTTAAAGTAAAACATTCTTTGTTTGATAGAAATAAAATGACTTTAATTAACTTTTAAATAGTCATTTTTCTACTCTTATGCATTTACATGTTATTGTATGTACATGTACTTTATTATTTTAAGAAATTGTATACATTTTCAGCATAATTTCATAAAAATGTATGCATTTCTTATTATGAAATTTCTGTTATAAGATTTTCTGTAAATGTGAGTGCATAATCTTTGCTAGATAAAAGCCACATGTAGAAAACCTGTCAATTAAACCTGCTTAATTTCTTTCCCATAAGAACAAATTTAGTATTGCTTCTTTAGAAGAAACCACCTGCCTAGAAACACCACCCTTTATGTAAGACTGGTCTTGAAAGATAGATCAAGATATGGTTATTGTCCCCCGCCTTTTCGAAGAAAAAAGGGGGATATAGAAATAGGCACCGTCCGTCCGTCTGTCTGTCCGCTGAAACATTTTAGGTATATGAGCTAACTAACAGTACACTGGGACAAAAGAGAACAAAGGACTTCATTCCGTAAATAATAGTTAGCTCATAAGGAAACAATAGTTAGCCCACAAGGAAACAAAAGAAAAGAACAATAGAAATAGCTCATAAACCTGAAAAATTGGTACGTCCGTCCGTCCGTCTGTCCGGACATACCAAAATTTGATGTTTATGAGGCAAATAAGCTCATAAACACCACCTGGACCGACATCCATAAGCAAAATAAGCTCATAAAAACAAAAAATAGCTCTTAATTTTAAATTTTATGAGTTTATGTTCTTTATTTAACTACGGAATGAAGCTCATAATAATCAAATGTTGGTCAACATTTTGGCTTTAGGGGCTATTTTCTTTGTTATTTTCTTTGTTTTCTTAAGGGCTACTAGCCCCTAAACCCTTTGATCACGGAATGAACCTATTGTATCTTTTGTTCTCTTTACTGTTATATAGCCCCTAAACCAAAAATGTTTGCATGTCAGTCAGTCAAAGTTTTACATGATAAATTTTTAAATTCCATGTTTCATTTTATTTCTTTAATAAATTTATTGTTGCATTTGCACATCTAGCATTAATCATAAGTTTGGACTGAAAGTCCTGAGATCCATACCTCAATCTTTTGAAATAGCTCTATTTTATGCTTTGTATAAAAAATCCCTGAGGCGGGGGACGTTGGTAACTCTGTTACAAATTCTTGTTTGTATTGTACTGCACTTTTGAAATATGGGTTTTTATTTTGATAATTAATACTGTATGTTATGTAGAAATATTAAATACAATCATGTCTTGCGTTAATTTACAAAGATATACCGCTGTTTTTATATTCACTGTTGTGTTGCCTATGTAACTTGAGTTAATAAAAAATTAATTAATTAAAAATGTTCTGTTCTGTTCATTTAACAACATAATGATCATAAAAACTATTTATGCATATGGTTATGTAACCTGTTAATGTAAAAATTTATATAACTCTGCACAATTTTTTTTCTTTAATTAAAATATAAATTCAATGCATAATCTAGCAACTGCAGTGCATGTATCTAAAGATTATCTTCTGTGAAGATAATATGTTTATTTTATTGTTTTAACATTGCATTTCATATACCTTATTATACAAATGTTATTGTACTTCAGAATATCAAATACAAGTAACATAACATTGTTCTCAATGTACATGTACTTACGTACTTTAAAATGGTGAGGTTGTCAAAATTATGTGAATGACATTGCTGTAAAGTTAAGGCTGCAGTTTTAATTCTATATAATATTATGTAAGTTTGTAATAGCATACTGCACATAATATGTAACGTCAACTTTCATTGGTCAAATATTATGTCTGAAATGTATTATTCATATACATGACTTAAAACCACTTGCCCTTCAATGCTCTGGGTTGGAATCCCAACAGGGACGTTGAATTCTTTCATTTGTGAAAAATATCCAACTTGCTAATGGAACAATGGTGATTCTACTCAGGTGCCCACACATGCTTGAAATAATGCACAGAAGTAATCCTATAAAGTCATAAATATGACCTATACTTTGTTGGTAAAACCAAAAAAAAAAGCTTTAAGTTATTTATATTTTTCTGTAAAGTAAAACTTAATTCATTATAAAGTCTGTTGTTGTGCTAAATAGCTGTGTATAAAAGTTTGTATGCTATTGGCCAATTTATATATTGTTTTGCTCCAATCAAATGTTTTATTTACAAACTGATTTCAATCTCAGGTTCTTTTAACCCTTACCCTGCTGGTACCAAAAGTGATTGACCTTTAACACCAGGATAGAGCCAGGCGAGCCTGCTTAGCCAGGCTCAATATTGTCGGCTGATCACCTTCAAAAAAATTTTGTTTTATAATGGACAATTTCAAATATTGAAGATGGGCAAATCCATTACAAAAATTCAGCAGATTAAGGGTGAACCTTATAATGGTTGTTTATGTAAATAAGCAATTCTGATAATATTTATGCGTGAATATAAATTAAAACATGTTTAACCTTTTGTTGTTGTTGTTGTGCATTTCAGACGGTCAGTATTAAAGAGGACATACAACATATCATTCAGACAATATTTGATGTTGTCATGGAAACCATTCTTCACCTGAGAGACACGTTTGCAACAAAGGTAGGTTAACATAACAAAGTTAACAACATTTTAGTAGGTTGCTTGGTTATGGAAGCTCTTTTTTTTCGGTTTTCGGTTATATTTTACTTATTTAGAGTATGTTATTACAAATTTCGAAATGTTTTTAGGGTGATGTAGCCTTGAATTAAAAGTACAGCACAATGTAGAAAATACATTAGGTTTTTTAGGTAAAAAATTTCGCTTTGAAATAAAATAGCATACTGGTTGGGGACCACCAAAACCCGACAACCACCAAACCCGGACGGTCCCGAAAATGCTTAATTTAGTATTTTCTTTGTTCAGTGGTTGTCAGTCACTTTTTTATCAACAATAAGTGCATGTTTCTTTTATAATTAAGTTAATAAATTTATTGCGACCTCCGTAAATGGTAATATTTTAATGTCAATTTCAAGAATGTTGACGTTGAAATTTTGGGATCAAGAAAGCAATGCCTGACCTCATATACCAGCTATAATCATTTGCAGAGTGAATAATAGAATATCCAAAACTTCAGCATTTGTTGCTGACATATTGTATATCATGTAACAAATCAAAAATCAACACACTTAAGCTTTTATCTGAATTAAATCACATCATGTACATATCTGTCCGGACACATGGTACTGTAGTGTAGACAATTTAGGTAATTTTGATACCCTCATTGTCGAGCCTCAGATATAAGTGTCAATACAATCAGAAATAAACAAACTAGTTTGTTAGTTAAAAGAAGAACCTATCTAAACTGTGTCATTTTTTTTGGTCTCTAGGTTAAAAATTATGAAATTTGTACGGAAAAATGTTCAAGATGGTCCCCGACCAGTATATATTCATTATCAGTAAAAATCATTTGATTTTTTTATACGCCTGCAAAAATTTCAGCTTATACCAGTAATGCTTATAATGTTAACCATAATGAGACAATTTGCAGAGCACAGGTTTGACCATTCTTAGGTCAAGGTCACACTTAGTCATTTTGTTTATATTTTAAAATTTTGTTTCTGCTCTATATCTTTTGAACCGACAGAAAGAAATTAAAAATTTTTGTCCGAAATATCTATATAATGAGACAGTGTGGAGAACACAGGTTCAGGTTCCTAAGATCAAAATTGGCCCGGCCCTGGTGATTACCGGTACATTGAAAGGCATATTTTTGAAGGTTATTTGACTGCCAAGATGCCCCAATTAGAAATTCTGCATAAAAAAGTTTTATTATACCCCCGTACGCAAAGGTTGAAGGGAGTTATACTTGCTTCAGCTAGTCCTCTTGTCATTGTGTCTGCAAAATTCATACCATTTGTACAAAGTGGTGTACAGGAGTGACCTTGCCAGACTGTGGCAGTTCTAAATTTGATTGCAATTTGACCTGGAATGAATTTACATTTGAAAAACTGATAAATTTTGAAGAAAATACTTGTACGAATGCTTCAATATTTACAAGGATTCATTTGACGATGAATCAGAAGCTTCTGTTTACAAACGATCCATTAAAAGACAACGTAAGCCACCAGCCAGGAGTAAAACGCACACTGGATTCACCATGAAAAATGAGGCAGGCTTGAATAGGAAACAAAGCCCAGGGCTTGATGCATTGGTATTAACATTACTTACTGTGAATGAAGGGAATGAGAAACCACCGAAATCCCCCAAATCCGTATGTGAAAAATGTTGAATAATATATATTCAGCATAGCATGGAGTGATTGACTATGCACACATCTTCGCAAAAACTGATACATTATACAGACTTTCTTTGACAATAGTTCTATTTATAATATACATGTAGATACATGAAATTGTATTTCTGCCTGAAAGCCAATAGCATCGTTTCATCTTGGACATAGTTTGACACCTATTTTGTAGCATGGATTGAGTTTGAACTTTCATAAATAACAGTTATATAGCATTGAATGACCTTGAGATCAAGGTCAGGGGGTCAAGGATTAATCTTGGTCTCCTTGACAATAGTTCTATAGCATGGATGGACCTAGCATTTCTTTCAGCATGGATTTACCTAAGACTCAATTTCATATAAGTTCTTATTTAAGAGATCTTGCATTGTCTTTTACAACTGTTATGAAGCATGTATTGACCTTTGTCTTTAATAGAAAACTCTTCTTTGGGATAGATTGACCATGGATTCTATTGACAAAAGTTCTAAAGATAGATTTACCTTGGATTTCCCTTATTGACAGCAATTTTGTAGCATAGATTTGGTGTAAGACTTCTAGGTAACAGGTCTGATTCAGCAACAGCTTTTTTGGACCCCCTTTGACATTATCTCTTTAAGATTATTGACCATAGCTTATTTTCAGCAAGAGTTTTGTAACATGGATTGACCTTGGAATTTGTTTGACAACTGTTTCGTAATATGGGTTGACCTTGTATTTTGTTTGACAACTATTAAAACATGAATTGACCTTGGACTTTGATATCTGTTCCAAAGCATGGATTGACACTCAATACTCTGACAGTTCTTTAGCATTGGTTGACCTTGCACCTTCTTTGACATCAGCTTAAAAGCTTGACATTTTGTCTAAACTTTTCTCATAATATTCCTATTGAAAGGATTTATTAATCAGATTTTGTAATGTTTGTATAGCCACACCTATCAGGCTTCATATGTTGGATGCTTTTATTGAATAAAAGAATAATCCCCTAGGTGGTTGCCAATATTGGGTAGAGCCCTATTGTTTGTGAGGTCAATAGGTCATGGTTTAAGGTTTTGCTTACCTTCAATAGCTCAAAGCTTTAAGATTGAATTGGCTGGATGTGCCTTGTAAAAAAAATTATAAGTATTTCTGGTAAATAGATCAAAGGTCATGGTCACATTGAATTTGAAAATCCTATCCTCTGAATAATACAAGTATCTACAGTTTTTAAACTTGAAGTGATGGTTTCCGTGTTAAGTAGAAGACTCGTATTGTTTTCGAGGTCAGTTTAACACCATTTAAGGTCATGGTCACCTTGAAGCTGAAAATGTTTATGTACAGTAACACAAGTGTACCTTTTGAACCACAACTGTAAGACGGCATACCATGGGTGCCCTTATTGAGTAGAAGATTCCAATTGATTTTGGGCTCTGTAGGTGAAAAGTTGAGATTGAGATCAGAGTCACCTATAATTAAGAAAACCTTAACCACATACTAGGTGAAAGGTCAAGGTCAGAGTCACCTCTATCTAATCTACCATGTAGTAGGAGAAAGGTGAAGATCAGAGTTACCTATAATTAAGAAAACCTTAACCACATACTAGGTGAAAGGTCAAAGTCAGAGGTCAAATTCTTACCAATCTACCAATAAATAGAAAAAAAGGTCAAGGTCAGGGTCAGTTTATATTTTCAAACTACATGTATCTCATTATCTCATTTTAGGCCTTTGACCTATATAGAATCATTGCATTAATTGAAAAGCTTTGGTAGCCATAACGTCAGTCTGCATTATGTCTTGGCCATTAGTTCATATATTGGTGCACTGTAATAACACAGAGGTAAAATGGTTGTCCTGACATCTCTTGATTAAGTAGACTTGGGTAGAAATTGAAGAAAAATGAATAAAGCAAAGTGTTGTTCTTTTTTCAATACTTCATGTTTCAGATCTGGTTTTCTCAATAAATATCTTGGTATTCTTCAATTTGTGTAAAAAGACTTTTTGTCTCTTTATTTACTACACCAGAATAGAAGTACAATGTATATGCCATTATTATGTATGATTGTGTAATGATATGCTGTGTATGAGAGTGTATTGCAGTGATATGTTGAAAACTATGTACACATTACGTATATAATTTTTTTTAAGATATATACATGTATATATATTTGTATAGGCATGGAATATTTATTTGAAAGATACTTTAAGAGACTTTTACTTTATTTTGGAAAAAAAAAAGATCTTACAGTGAAGAAAATTTTAAAGTGTTGTAAAAAAATCTTAGGTAAACTACTAAAGTAATTTTCAGACTAGGAATATAATTAAGAAACCTCTATCTTTATTTTTGTTTATTTTTTAAGTACATCATGTATACAGTATTTACAAACTGTTTTTGTTGTTTTGATTTTTAAATCTCTGAATAAATTTCAATATTATTTTATAGAAGATGTTATTTCAACTTAAACAATGTTGTTCTGAAAAACAACTTGTTTACAACTCTTGTTTGTAGTATCGATGTTTAAAAATATCGAAATTTTCAAATCACAGCCTCGGAGAAAAATATCCGACTCGAGTCAGAATAGGAGTACAGTATCGTTAGTAGAATGGATGAAAAGTCGTGGAAATATGAAGGAGCCTGAACCTGACGTTAACGAAGAGAAACAGCAGGCACGGTTATCATACGACGGTACCTTTGATAGGCGGGAAAACCGGAAATCTGATGTCGACATTACGATATCAGTAGAGAGACCGATCGAATGTGTATGTGGCAAAACTTTGAGAATTTAAGCATGCCATCGGAATTTTTCTTTGTCACGGAATGTTGTCTGATGCGAATTGTACATGTTGATTTCCAAATGATACACCATTCTTTTTTACCCCTTTACATGTGTACGCTTAATTGACATGATATGTATAAATTGCATGTACCTAATTATCATCGGCCCACCCAAATACACAGATTGTTTGATTTAAAGTGCTACGGGAAACCTGTTGCAATGTGTATTTATGTGTATTTAGGGCAATTTTATATATTCATTTTATATATACATTTGTATGTATGTTCTATTTACTATATTGTTGTGGCTTGTATGTATTTCTTTTAATGTATTAATGCACACAATACACACAAAAAGGTCAAATTCATTTATGTCAGTGCATTGAATTTTAGTCATGTTATGAAAACAATCTCACATTTGTTGTCATATGATATCAAATTTTCATTAAACTTGTCCAAAAAATGTTTAAAGCTCACAACAGGCTCATTTTATAAAAAATTCTTGAACTGGTTAAAATAAAATTTTATTTCATATTATATGGCAACTTTAATGTGAGATCTATGTTTTAGCACCTTTTCAGTTGAAAGACATTATGTTCATATGAAGCATGTGAAAATTTAGCTCATTTCCAATTCTTTCAAATTGTATTCTATAAAGCTTCTCTGTGACTAAGAGCAACACTTCATCTTGTCATCTAACAGCTTTCATAATAAGTATAAGATATAGAATATGATAATGTAAGCGTATTGATGTGTTAAAAACACTATTTATTTGAAACAGTGTCATATACGAGATTCGATGGTAAGAGCTAATTCTGACATTAAAAAAATTAAAGAGAAGTTGGACGAGCTACAGAAAGACTTGGTAAGAGTTTTAATGTCTTCATTATAATGAGCTGACCTTCAACCCTGCCATCTATTCCTTTTCTTGTATATCAGACTGGTGTTTCCATTAGTTTAACCCACATCAAAAATTAGCATGTGGGGGGGGGGGGGCAAATGGGCACCTAAGGTCGTCCTCCACCAGTAAAGCTGGAAAGTCACCATATGACCTTTAAAGTGTTGGTGTGGACGCCCACCTTTCTCCCCCACCCCTCCTAAAAGTTCATTTTCCTTGTGCTTTTTTGCTAGCTTCGTAAGTTTAAGACTATATTTAGAATATTTTTGTAGCATTCAGAGGTAGAAAGCCTTTGATACTTTTATCTTCTAATGTCATTGGAAGGTAATACATCAACATGGTATATGTCTAGGAAAAATACAGCATGAAAATGAAAACAACAACAAAAGCCAAGGACAGTACTGTTGATAAACATTTATTTCAGCTGATATGAGTCAAATTTTTGAATCGCCATTTGATGGGAACATATCCTTGGCAGCAGTGGGACTCGAACATTCAACTCCAAAGTATAGTAGAGGCTTACACTCTAACCACAAGGCTTCTTGTTGCGCTTTTAGTTTTTGAGATGACTATGACTATAAGCTTCTGTTTTGTCTTAACTTTTGTTTGCTAGAGTAGAACTGTTTTTCACAAACTTTTGATGAATTTGTATATACATATTAATGGCAAGTGTTATAGCAATGTTCAGTCCGTTTGAAATTTGAAAATTGTATGTTGTTTTTTTTTAAATTGATTTTACAGATGCAACCGTTTTATAGGAAAAAAATGTTTATGTGCAGAATTTAATCAAAAGCTTCTACATGATTTGTCTTAATTGTTTAGAGCAAATTTTAATATTGTAATGCTTTGAATGTTAGTTGATAGTTATTGACCTATGCCCCCAGTATAGTCTCTAAACCTTCTGAATTTGTGTAAATGGATTTGCCAAGCTTTGAATTTGGAACAGTCCATTCAAAGCTATAGGGATTTCAATATCAAAATAGAAAAAAATGAGGAACCAATAGTGAAGCCCCTTGTCAGGCTGCACAGAAATAAATGTTGGTTTGACATGCTGGTTGGAAAAATAGAAATTTCTTAAGTTGCAAAATTGGACAGCTTGTACAATTGTGCAGTCTTACCAGACTATACATGTACATACTGGTGATCTGTGGCTGAGTAGTTAAGTTTGTTGACTTGAAACTAGGGGTGTCATGGCTAGAAAAAATGCCATCCGTTAGAACGGAGACCTAATAACCATGTTAAATGTATAACTGACAATACTAATAAGATCCTTAGATTTTTAACATTAATTTGTTCGTATCTTGTTGTACTCAAAATGATTTTAATACATTTCCGATAAATAGTAACTGTTTTCCGTAAGGGTCGTACCGTACTCGATCAGATCGGAAGAAATACATTGTTGAGTAAAACTAAAATACAAGCAAATTGTCTAATCTTGTTATAAACACTTAGGTAATATTTAGAATTAATTTTAAACATTTTTTGCCTCTATGTCAAAAACTAACCTCGGTTAATATTTAGAATTAATTTTAAACTTTTTTTGCCTCTATGTCAAAAACTAACCTTGGTTATCAGTTATTGAATTTTCTGATGTTTTTTTTAGCTAAAAACCGACCATACCCATTTAAATGGATAAATGTGACACCCCTACTTGAAACCACTTGCCTCTCACCGCTTTAGGTCTGATCTGTGCCAGTGTCTTTGGATTCTTTCATGTGAAAAAGTTATCCAGCTAGCTAAGGGAATGTCAATGGTTTTACTCAGGTGCCTGTTTGAAATAGTGCAAATAGATGCACTTGAGGCCTAAGAGTCCTCCCCCAGTAAAGCTGGAAAGTAGCCAAATGACCTACACTGTGTTAGTGTTATGTAAAACCCAACCAAATAAACAAAAATATACATACTGGTAGCATTGTTTGCTGCTCCCACCCAACCAAATAAACAAAAATATACATACTGGTAGCATTGTTTGCTGCTCCGGTAGCAGTTTTTGCTGCTCAGTTTCTTTGGTAAATTTAATACTTAAAGTCCCTTTAATAAACTAATGGATCATTCCAAATTCAAACCACAGCAAGTTCATTCATTCAAATTCAGTGGGTTTAGTGTATGATGGTATTGTCATGAAAACTATTTCATTTTACAAAATATTTTTCTTATCTTGTGTGAAGAAAGAAGTAATACTATATTCACAGAGACCAAATCTAAAAGTATTAAATTTCAATTATCATTGTACAAAAAATATGTTTTCATCATGTTTTAAAATAGAAGAAAAAATAAGATGAACCAGAAATTTTGGGGTTTATTCTTTGGAGTAATGGTAAATGTTAAGCTTAAAACACAGGTTATGGGCGTGGGACCAAGTCCTACCACCAGGGTACCACTCCCCAGGACCGCTATAGTAGCCAAATATACTAGTTTAAAGTATCAGTAATATATTTTTTTGTTAGAATTGTTTGATTTTTGTATTAACTTATATTTTGAATGGGTTGAAGTATATTTGTGTAGTATAGAGGGTCCTGGGGGGTAATACTCTTGGGGTAGGGCTTAGTCCCATGCCGATGACCCATGGCTTTAAAGAGTGAAGTGTACATTTTCTAAGAGACATTTTTGAAATGTTTACAGGGCTCTATGATTGCGTGTTTAATGGAAATGTTACGTCTGATGGAGAAAGATCATTACGAGGCATTACTTCACGTGTACCATCGTGGACGGGAACTTCACAAATTCCTTATGAACATTATAGAAGTATTCCAAGTACTAGTCGACCCGAAAGTGTTCTCACCAGACTGGACCGTAATGAGAATGGTTACAAATCAGTAAGTTATTTACCTGAACTATAAAACCACCTCTAAATAAATACCACTGAAAGAAACATTTTCATTAATTGCTATTCTTGCATAAAAACTATGCGTGCAGGTAAACATTAATGGAGAGGGAGAAAACATGCATTTATTTAACGCATAAAATCATGTGAGCATGCACCATTATTGCATGTTCTTTAATTTGCATGACACAGGGCACAATGTAAAAATATATTTCTGCAATAGCTGCCTAGTAATTTCATTATCAAAATATAATTGTCCAATGACAACACAATAGCATATGAAACTTTATATGAAAAACAAATACTGAAACATGAAAAATTGTATTGGACGTAACTATACTTTTATTTAAGAATAGTTTTCTTGCAATTGCGTCCACAGAAGCCCTCAGACTTGCCAAATCCCTCAACATGTGGCTTCGGGCTTAAAATTTGTCCATGCGCTTCTGCAGAATGTATATTAACCCTCTATATATCTTACCATTCAGAAATCTTAATGGTGACTAATCATTGTTTAAGTTTAACTAAAAAATTGAATTTAAACTTATGTCACATTTGACCACTAGCTTCCATTTTCCTGTCTTTAAGGACCACCCTTGAATGAAAACATGAACGTCTGGAACAAATTCCTATGTATATATTATTAATAGATATTAAGATTTTAAATATTTTGAAGTCTCTGGATGGTTGCAAGTTTATATAGCGGCTTGGGTAAAATTTTTAACAGCCATTTATATGCAACCATATAACCTGTCAAAAATGTTTGTTACAAAGTGATTATTCTACTTATTTGTTTTCTTTGCTTCAAAGTTCATAACTTTGCAGAAGCCATAGTTTTCTTGAATATCCGACAGTATTACTGTTTACACCAGTGCTAGAAAAACCTGTTATACACCCCTTATGTAAGACAAGTGGTGTGCTTTCCCTCGCATCTTTTATAAATGCATTGCATTCTTAGGATGACGTTGTTTTGCTGATATGAATGAAGTTGATAAGGAAAAAGTGTGACATAAACTTTTTTCTTAATTTCTCTCCAAATATGTGAAAAATATTAAATATGCAAGAAAAGGAATCAAACACCGGCTGTCGATCACAGACAGGAATATCTTGATCTCGAGTATGATCCTTGTAATATATACATGCCATTTTATGTTTTATCTTGCCAAAACCAATATTTTGATATATTTCTATTTCAGTGTGATGTTCACATCAATGGCAGAATTCTCCGAGGCTTTACAAAATAATTTTATAACTGGAGACAAATTTGACCACAGTGTAAGTTTACTGGTCGGGGATCACCAAAACCGGACAACCATCAAACCTGGACGGCCCAGAAAATGCTTAATTTAGTATTTTCTTTGTTCAGTGGTTGTCAGTCACTTTTTTATCAACAATAAATGCATGTTTCTTCTAAAATTAAGTAAATAAATTTATTTCAACCTTCGTAAACGGTAATATTTTAATGTCTATTTCAAGAATGTTGACGTTGAAATTTGGGGGTCAAGAAAGCAATGCCTGACCTCATATACCAGCTATAATCAATTGCAGAGTAAACAGTAGAATATTTAAAACTTCAGCATTTGTTGCTGACACATTGTATATCATGTTAAAAATCAAAAATCAAAACACCCAAGCTTTTATCTGAATCAAATCACGTCATGTATATATCTGTCCGGACACATGGTACTGTAGTGTAGACAATTTAGGTAATTTTGATACCCTCCTTGTCGAGCCTCAGATATAAGTGTCAATGCATTCAGAAATAAACAAACTAGTTTGTTAGTTAGGAGAAGAACCAAGCTGAACTGTGTCAATTTTTTAGGTCTCTGGGTTAAATATGATGAAATCTGTACAGAAAAATGTTCAAAAAGTGTCCGGTTGATGGTCCCCGACCAGTACTTATCAACACTCTGAGCGACTTCATGTATCGCCTGATAATTCTCAGATATTTGATGTTTTTATTCTTTCGTATCTTTAGATTTCTTTCATTCATGTTTGTTTGGGTTCCAACTTGAGATCAATTAAAATGTGGCTAAAAATAGATTTGCCTTGATTTTTAATATCATAGTAAGAATATGTTTTAAGGTTTGTTACAAGAATACTGTTAAAAAAATTGAAAATTACTTGTTATTTATACATGAAGGTTGGTTCGGTGGATTCACCACAGAGACTTAACCTAAAAAATGTTTTGAAATTGGTATAAAAACCAGAAAAACAAACTGATAGAAATTTTTGTTCTTGTTAAAGATATTAATCTACATTATATGATGTAAATTGAAATGTTTTTGTTTCAGTTATGGTCGAGTTATTTCCAGCTAGCCGTGTCATTTATTACACAGCCTAGTCTTCAGTTAGATAGATACTCTGAGGTGAAGGGTCTTAAACTACGTGAAAAGTGAGTTTACAAACTGTATGAAGTTTTCTTTTGTCCAGCTAATGTATGTTATATTTTTTATGTGACACAGCAGAGTCATGCATTGATCTTCAAGAACTGTTCATTATGAATATTAGGGATAAAGAGGTCAAATTTAAGAGCACAGTCCTGTGAGACTGCCCTCACTGGTAGGTTTACCTTTACAACAAATGTATGTACATTTAGATAATTAAGCTAATGTCATGTAACTTAAATAATTAACACTAATAAAGTGTAACTTTTGAAATTAGACAAGAGTGTGACAAGCCATTTAATTTAATTTTTGGAAGTTTCCAAAAGTTAGATGTCCAGAATGATCTGAACAAGTACAAAAGTTATGTCAGATACAGTAATTTCATGAAAATATCAATTGATGCATGTGTACTTTGTGACTAGCCAATTTGGCAATCATTTGAATTTTGGAATTTTCCAAAGATGAGATGTCCTGAATGATTTACAAATGATGTCATACACAGCCAGATGATGCATTTGTAATTTTTAGTATTTGTATTTTGTTAGCTTTGGTCATAGACAAATTGTATCCTTCTTATTGCTTAATGAGGGATCGATTGATTGAGTTCTTAAATAAATTCTTGATTGATTGATTAGTTGAATGGTTGATTGATTGATTGATGGATGGATGGATGGATGGATGAATGGATGGATGGATGGATGGATGGATGTTTTCTTGACAAAACTTTAAAATAATTTTGAAAGTTTTACATAGAAAAATATATTACAAGTTTAGACATTTATAACAGAGTTTTCAGCTGTCCTTTCTATTTGACTATAGAGTTATAGAAGATATTATTATATACAATACATCAATGAATTGATTTTCTGTGACAGATACCAAGATATGCGAGTGTTAATGGGTGTACAGGTTGAGGAGTTGTGGTATGCACTAGGGGCTCACAAGGCTCATTTTATACCTGGAATGATAGGGCCGTTCCTGGAGCTCACACTTGTTCCTGAGGTGGATGTACGCAAGGTCACTTTACCGGTTATATTTGATATGATAGAGTGGGACCAGAAGAAGCATGGCAACTTTAAACAGGTAAAATTTAACATCAGATTGAACATTGAGACATTAAAAAGAAAAGGCCGAGAAATATTATATGGTTAACTTGTAATTATTTGATGAATCCTATAAAACTCTTTATTGTCCCATTGTCTGTTATAATTTGAACAGTTCATTAAAGGAACTCCACTGAGGTATAAAAGCCTAAAAACATAAAATTTGAATTTCTTACATAGATCAGCTAGGGCACTTAAAAAGAAGGATATACAAAAGGTAATAAAGAATATACTAAAGGATAAATTGCAAATTATATTTTTGTACTGCTCTTAGCCCAGTTTGGGCAATTTGGGTTTATTTTTACAATAAGAATACTTATTCTTATAAAATGGAATGATCTGAAATTTTGCACACAAGTTATTCTAGACCTACATCAAATTTAATGTTGAAAATCTATTTCAAGTCCCATCAGTTAAAAAACCTCAGTGGAGTCCCTTTAACATAGTGAAAAGAGATTTTGGGCCATGGCAGAGTGGTTAAGGTTGCTTACTTCAAAGCATGAAAGTCTTGTCAGTCGCCATGTTTTATACAATGTTTTGATTGCAGGTAGAGGCGGCGCTGATAGAAAGATTAGATTATTTTCTCACACAGAAACACACAGGAGATACCCAGTACAAGGATCTATTTAAAAAAATGTAAGTTAATGGGTTTTTTACTCCTTTGTATAAATACAAATTCAGTATGTAAGTACCCTTAAGCCAATTTATTACATTTTGCAACTAGAGCACAAGGTAGGGGGCTTCCGTGGCCGAGTGGTTAAGGTCATTGACTTCAAACCACTTGCCCCTCACCGCTGTGGGTTCGGATCCCTACAGGGACTTTGGATTCTTTCAAGTGAGGAAGCTATCTAGCTAGCTTACAGAACGTCTGTGGTTCTACTCAGGTACCCGTTCGTGCTTGAAATAATGCACGAAAGGGCACCTGAGGTCTTCCTCCACCAGTAAAGCTGGAATGTCGCGATATGACCTATACTGTGTCGATGTGACGTAAAACCCAAAACAAACAAACAAACAAGAGCACAAGGTTTTTGCAATTCTTATTCACAACTGACTTTTTTCCAAGAATGGCACTTGTTACTTCCTGTCTTGGTGCCCTGCTTAAAGGAAATGGTTCAAGGATGTTAAGCTGGGCATCAGTATAATGTGATTGGATGGATCATGGGGTGTCTTGTCAATATTACTACTGCATGATATATCACTGAAGAAGGTTTAAGTTTGAACTTCCATGTAGAAAAAGAGCTGTTTTTTTGTCAATAAGGGAAGTAATTGTATTATTATTAAAGTTATGTATTATTATTAAAGTTATGTATTTGTTACCTCCCTTGCATATTGCAGTTAGAGATATAATTGTAATATTGTCTGCTGTTATATGTAGGTATAATAACTTGATGGACACTATGTGATTCACAGTTCATGGATATAAGGATAAAAGTTAGAGCAAGATTATAAGTTTCATGTTGTTCAAGGCTACTCTATATAGTTTAAGAAGCTCCACTGAGGTCCAAAAGGTTTAAGACATTAAAGTTTTATTGATAAAAACAAAAAATGGAGTGTGTGAATAAATTTTGCATACAAACTATTGGTCCAGACCTATATTAATCATGAAAATTTGTTTCAAATCCTATCGTGTCCAAAAACCTAAGTGAAGTCCCTTAAAAAATAGAGTTAGATTTCCATATTTTTTGTTGTTGTAATTTTGAAAGCATGTCTATCATTGAAAATGCTATATGCTATGCTATTATCTATAATTTAGTTCACTTGACGACCCTAGTCATTTAGCTTTCCCACAAATACTGACCTTTGTTGACAAATATTCAGTGTTATTCATTAAAAACTGAAACAGTCTGTGTCACGTATACATGTGCCTTATTTAAGATAGGATAAATTGAAAATGAAAGTGACATGCTAGGACTAGGAATGTTTTAAATCATTGTTTCATAATAGAACAAAAGTTACACCAGTTTTATTAAATGATGATGTCCTGTATTGTGTATTTCTGCAGAATTTGATTTTATGGTAAACATATTTCGACTTTACACGTCTTCTTCGGTTACAAACAATATACATGTATATGATATAAAATTGAAATGATGTTACGAATGTGTAACAAAAACATTTAAAAAGGCGTCGGTGCAATCAAACTTTGTTAGACAACAAAGCTCTATATCATAAATTGTGAATAAAGGATTTATAAATTCATATTACTTGGAAATACAGTGCTGTTAAATTATATAAAAAAAAAAACCTAAGTACTTAATAATACAAATTAAATTACAAAATTTCCAAAGTGAAAGCTGATTAATAAATTCTTTTTGAATTCATCCAAATTTGGGGGGGGGGGGGGGGTATTCTGCCCAACATCAATTTTACAAATGTATGTGAATTCTCATATTAAGACAACAAATGTTGTACATTTTATTCACAATATTGTCAGTTATGTGTAATGGAGTGACTTTGAGAAGGGATATTGAAATAAGTGCAATGAATCGCATGACCTGGTGTAGAAAATGTTTCAATTTCATTGGGCCTCCATGACTTAGCCACTGACAGTGATTAAGGTTGCTGAAGTAGAACCACTGGTTCCCACACCACTTTGGTTCAAATCCTGCCTTTGGATTCTTTCATGTCAAAAAGTCAGGGTCTGCTTGTGTCTGAAACAATGCACGGAGGTGCACCTGATGTCTTGGTGTTGATGTAACTTAAAACCTTAACAAAAAAAATTTGTTTAGATTTCAAAGATTATTATGGATGCGATTTTTGGAGTTGTAGATTATCTTGTCCCTGTTAAAGAAGTCATTTATTTAGATAGTGCATGCATGAAGTGGTATGTATTGGGCATTGTGCGATGTTGCAAATTGCTAGAAAATCTGCACTTTTATGTTGGATTTGATCACAGAAAGATTATGTGCAGGTTTTTGATGACAAGTGTGCAATTGTTCTAAACACTATTAAGCTGACATCTGCAGTTACCAGTCTTTTGTTCACAAATTGTCAGTGTGAGATAGAATAAGAACATTTCATTTCATAATCCTAAATGTTGGGGAAAAAATTGCATGTAGTTTAATAATTTTAGAAATAGGCATAAAATTTGAGATTTGCATGCATGTAGATTAAAGGGACTCAACTGAGGGTTTTTATAACATGACGGCCATTCGCTGGTCTGAGATATGTGTTCTATTTGATGTTGGTCTGGACAATAACTTATGTGTAAAGTTTCAGAAAATTTGCTTCTCTGTTTTTCCACAAAAATCATTTTACATTGTATTATCTTTTGCATATTTTTCCATTTCAAGTGCCAAAATTCCAAGTTGATCTAATATTTTAAAAATTTTAAAATTTATGTGTTTATGATTTTTATCAGTTTGACCTCCATTAATTTAAGAAATGTGCATAAAGTTTAATTTTATAAAAGGCAGAAAGTTTAATTTCAGAAATGGGCATACAGTTCAATTTTGGACATTTGCATATAGCTTATTTCATTAATGTCAAATTGTTAAAAAGTTTTACTTTTGGAAATGGTGAAATAGTTTAATTTTGAAAATAGCAAATAGGAAATAATTTTGGAAATGTTGATATCAGAAATTGTTGTATGGTTTTATATCAGATGTGCACATAATAAGTAGGATAGTTTCACAGAAGAGGATGCATAGATTTACCATATGAGCCGCGTCACGACAAAACCAACATAATGGGTTTGCGACCAGCATGGATCCAGACCAGCCTGCGCATCCGCACAGTCTGATCAGGATCCATGCTGTTCGCTTACCAACTCTATTACAAGTAGAGAAACTGATAGCGAACAGCATGGATCCTGATCAGACTGCCCGGATGCGCAGGCTGGTCTGAATCCATGCTGGTCGCAAACCCATTATGTTGGTTTTGTCATGACACAGCTCATATATTTAAACAAAAGTTAGGCATGGATCACTGACATTTGCAGAAAAATCTGGAAAAAAAATTGTGACAACATTACATTAAACACGACCAAATTAAATAATAAATTTTTATTTTATACTTAATTGAATTTTAAGAAAATAAATTGAATTTTAAGAAAAGACTTTAAAGTTTTTAAAAGGAGCTGTTTTCATTTTTTTTAAAACTACATTAGAAATCATACATTAAAATTTTATTAAAATTATCACGATAATTTTTTATCACGGATAAATTGGTAATTATCATAACTTGAAAATAACCACTTTTTAACATGTTTAACTTTTTAAACAATTTTTTTTTCATCATTTTCTTTTTAGATTTTAAAGGTATTATGAATTTCAATCCTGAGACGCTACTTAAATCGCGTCAGCTTTTTCATAACACGGTTGTCGTGGTAACACGATCCTTTCTATATCATTGAACAGTATTGTCATTTAGCTTTTCTAATTGTTTACTTCTTATAATACCCGTGTAAATTTGTCAAAATGATTACCGTGACAACGTCTTAACTCTTACGAACAGTTGATATTATCTCTATAGAACTTGGGGTTGATTACCCGTTGAGTTTGTTTGAAATGTGTGGCACTAAGGGACGCTCGTAATCAGTTTAGAAAACATCGAGGGGAGATATGACATTGGATTATTTAATCGCGGAAAAGAAATTTAAATGGATAAAATTTTGTGGTCATAATTGTTATGACATTCAAATCTTGCAAAGAATTTTAAGTGAAACAAATTAGTGAAATGATTGAGAAAGAGAAATTAATTTAGTACAAGGATAAATGTGTCAAATTATGTCAAAGTTGAAAGCATAAAGTTAAAGGGTTTATTCTTTCCATGTCATATTTGGAGATGTTTAATTTGAAGGCAGAAGCGCACATGGTGGAAATGACTTTTTTTCAAACTTCATAAAAGGAACTTAGAATTTTTATCTCATACTGGATTAACTTAACAGATAATACTTCTCTTTCAATTAACTATTTATAAGAATTCCAAGGTGATCTTGCTATTGACATTATTAAAGTGTTCATTAATTTAACAGAGTTGTTTGTTTAGACTGTTAGTGAATTTCGTGCAAATCTGTGGTGGTTCTATTCTGGAAATTTCATTTCTTGGAGTATCTATTTAGAAACTTTGGACAATTACTGTCAGTCAGTGAGAATTATAAATCAGTTCCCACTCATTAATGGTAGGAGTTTTGCTGATTAAGAAAAAGAAAGTTTGAAGAAATAATTGAAGACATGTTAAGATAAGATTGGAAATAAAAATGTCATAGAGAAAAAGTGATTTTTTTTTCTGCAAAAGAAACATAGTTTTCTGGATCATGCCTGATTTATAAGGGAAAAAAAAGACCACTGAAATTGACATAAATGATAAAAAAAATATAGATACCATTTATAAAATTGCTAATAATAGACAACCTTGACTGAAATGTGAAGAAGAAAAAATACTGAAGGAGAATTTGAATTTTCCTTTTCGCAAAAATTAGTCAGGAATGTGAAAAAAGAAATGTGATTCAGACATATAATGATGAAATAAAATGGTGAAATTAAAGAGTTTACAGTACAGGAGACAGTCTACTATATTTTGTCCGTCTGAATGTAAATGTTCAAAATGTCAGGCCCAGGACAAGAAGTTACGACGAAGATCTGACAGCAGGTAAAATATATAAAGAAACTTTTTAATTATTATACTATTATTTA